GGTTTACTTATAAATTCTCATTTAATATTTAAGAAATACAAAATAATTAATTGCAAATACAAAACTTAAAAATTAACATGCAAAATTTGTGTCCGTTGTCCTTCTTCCTTTCTTGTCCTTTTGTCCTCTTAATATTTTGATATTAATTAATTATTTTGCCTTAGTTGGTACGAGAGCTATGACGTGCATAGCTAGTTAAATGGTTTTGATTAGTAAATTTATGGTAGGTCTTTACTTTTAATTAGTTTTGTGTTTTTCTCATTTTGATTTTATTATCTAAATAATTGCTTACTTACACTAACTTCGAGATACTTATTTTGTTTTTTATTTATTTATTTTTGTTTATTTTTTTTTTGTTTGTTTTTGCTCGTTTTAATTTAATATTATTTTTTTTAACAATATTTTCGTTTTACAAATGAAACTCTTTGAGTTTTGCCTTTGTATAATATTAACTTACTTTATCCTATTTTAAGCTTTGTATTCTTTATCTTTGCTGTTTTACCTAAAATTTATTTTTCTCTGCAATGCCTTTAATTATCCGTTAATCTCCTTTAATTACGTGTGAAAAGTTTTTAATGGCGTTTTGCATTCTGCCGTTTTTATAGCTTTTGCCTTTTACAAAAACGATTAATTACTTGTCTAAAGGTGTGTATTACAATAATATTTACCTAAAAGTTTAACTTTTATTTTTTCTTCTATTCTGTTTTTATCCTTTTTGGTTTAAGTATTATCTACAAAATTACATTTAATAAAATTGATTTAAAAATTTATTATTTACAGGCTTTTTTCAAAAATTGCTTTAACGTAATCGTTCACTAACCTAATATGTGTCCTTTGATAAATAATAAGTAAAATTATGAATTTGTAAAAATAAATCAAATTATTAAGAAATAAATTATAAATAAATATAAAAACTTAAAACTAAATTTCGTAAACAAGATTAAATACTTCAGAATATTACAAAGAATCTTTTTCAAGCTAAAAGACCTGGTTTAAGATAATATCGGATCTGATTGTATCGTTACAGAAAATATTATTAATAATTTAGAACTCTGATAATACTTTGGGTATTTAATACAAAATACATTATCGGAAATATATTCGTTCAAGAAAAACTAAGTCAATATAATATGCAGTAATTGTCTTCGATTTTATTATGGTATTGAAAAGTATACACCCCACATCTTTTCTAAAGAGTGACACTTCGTTCTTCGTTCGATAAATGAACGATTGTTTTTGAGAAGAAGACGCTTTGATTTGATATTCAGTTTTTCAAATAATTTTACTTAAATACATTCAACGTTTTTATATATTTTCTATAAAACCATATTTGGGAGACCGCAAAAAAGGATTATGTTTCGGCACTCATATCTTCAGCCAAAAGTTTCGAAGTACTCTTTTGAGGTTTAAGAACAAATAGAAGTATTATTTGTCGAAGTCCTAAACTACAGAATGCGATTGGAATAAATTAATAATATGCAATTATTTTGGCCACCATCATCACCTTCACAACATTGTGCTTTCTATTATCAAAGAATATTTTCTCTTTTTTTGTATGGAACATATTAATTGTCATTTTATTCATCAAACAGACTAATCCTGGTACTAAAATATTCAGTGTAGATACTTATTCAAAGAAACTAATGAATACATAAGGAACACTGATGTATTCAAGGGAAGTATATTACAGGAAACTATAATAGATAGCATAGTTCAAAATCAGACGCAATAACATTCACATCTGATTATTGCATGATCAGTTATTTTATGTGGTCCTTGTCCATTGACTTTTGATGAACTGTCGGCAAATGCGGTGCAATCTTTATAAACAGATTTTTCATGGTACGATAGCATGCTCAGGAACATAAGGACGTTTCTTTAGATCTTCGTTAGCTCTCTTTTATAATTCCAATGTATACCAATCAAACTATTTTTGTGAATTTTATTGTTGCTTTTCGAATTAACATCCTTAATTGCAATTGCACATCCTTAATTGCACTTGCAATTATCGGTAACTATACATCCATTTTATAGTCACGTTAAAATACAATGTACTAATAAATAATAATTGATGATAAATTGATGATTTTTCAGTGCCGAGTTATTTCAATGGTGTTTTGTTTTGCCAAAAAAAACTATTTTTAATCGCCTTTATTAGCGAGCAACTATTCAGTGTTAGCTAAATAGTTTGATGTAGCAAAATAAATCCTTTAAATGTGGACCATGTATACTATAGACCATCAGAGCGACTGGAATCGGAATAAAGATTACCGTTAATTTAATTCTGTGTATTTTATTTCGTTCCAAATGAATGTCACACGGTTTCGGCAATCAGAGAAAAGCAACGCAAGAGAAGTTTAATGAATTGGTTAAATTATTTTTATATATTGAATATATTTATAAAACTCTGCAAAACTTATTTTGAACTTAATATTATTTTGATTTGGTTGCATTAGAAACACAGTTTTAATTGAAAAAACAAAGTATCTATTATATGAAAATTCAAGGGCGTGGCCCAAAAGGGATATATGTTGCGGTAACTTGCACCTGACCCCCTAGTAATATTTCATTACATTTCATTATGAAAAAAGGGATTCATAGAAAAAAAAAAACATTCTTAACCTTTATGTGCTCGGTAGTCTACATTTGTAGCATTTTGTGCGAAAAAGTCTTATAAAAACGAATTTTGCACAACGACAGGGTGCGAGATTTTTAGTAGTTTCCTAAAAATCAATTTTAAGTTAATTTTAAACTTAACAACATCAAAACAATAATTTATTTAAGCCCTAGACCCAACTTTTCAAAATGATCACCTCCTGGCCGGTAGTCTACATTTGTAGTCACCATATAATTTATATGAAAATTCATATTAAATATCTATGTAGCTCAATATTTTTTAGTTCCAACATGCAGAAACATGTTCCTTTGTAATTTATTTTATTCTCTGTTTACTTGTACATACTTCTGCTGCATATTTGTACTTATATGCATGATTTTATGGTTTAGATCGCAACAGTAGGAGGATTAGGAAGCGCAGTTCATACTGCTGTAATCAATTTTCTGCTTATGCTCAATCTGATTACAATGTAATGCTTTCGATCCGCTTTTGATTGGTTAATTTGGTAATGAAATAGTTTATTTGAAACATAGAGCAGTAAAATAAAATGAGAATATTGGAAAATATGATTGAACGTGCTTCAACTCGGCCACTATTAGTTGTTAAACAGTAAGTGTGTTTGCAGGTTTTCCTTTTTTTGGAAGTGGCTTATGAAAAAAGAATGGCGACAATATATTGACAAATTACTGAGCGAGATTGATGAGGAGGAAGAGGAGCACTAGTTTTTAGCGATGAATGGTTTGATGATCATGTACCACTTGACCATCATACAAGTTCCAGCTCAAGCAATGTTTTTGTTGGTGCTGTAAGTGTTGCGATTAGTTTCTATTCTAAAGAATCTGACGCCGAGAATGAAATGATACTTGGTGAAGAAGGTGATTCAGAAATATGAGCAAGAATAAGGTATATTATTCGAAATAAATTTTGATTATGTGATGAATGTCAAAGAGACCTCGGTCGTTATGCAGTATCTTGATACATTTGTGTCAAGAGATAATACTGTCTGGTTCAAATCTATACCTAATCAAGTAGGTCGCACTACTGCTCACAATGTGTTTCATGACACTACTGTTGGTCCAATTCGAGCGACTAAAGGTCTAATTTTGTACACCGTATTCGATACTTGAATAAATTTTGAGAGGAACAAACTAAAAAGCCAGGAAAACTACGCGAAATATTTGCAGTTGGTGCATAAAAACCAGTGTGTGACGTACAAACAGTCACATATTCTTTGGGTGAATGTTGTTCCTCAAAAGCTACTTAAAATCTTTTTTACCCAAATTTTGTATAATAATTTTCATAATAAATATGTACAATTGTCTGTAAAAGTAAAATAATCTGTCTAAAAGTGTTTTTTTAATATGTTGGTCTAGATTTCTTCATAACATACTTGCTTGCTACAAATGTAGACTTCCGACCGGCAACGTAGGAAAAATATCCCGAGCACATAAAGGTTAAGTATGATCTATCCATACTATACCTATCCGATGGCAAAAGTATGTGCATTTCTATTTGCAGTCTGTCATGTACAGAAATTGAAAAAAGGATTTCCAATTCAAAGACTTCGTTATTTTTTTAAGATAAGATTGAGTAGGAATTATATAAATTATATCATTTCAATAAAATATTCTCTGAATTTATTGGATGAGATGTAGGAGTTCTTCAAATACATACTTCTCATTCTCTTAGCTTAATTTGGTTCGAAACAAACAGTCTAGATGAAATCTTTAACATAACTAAGACGTACATAGCCTTGCTAACATATTCTCATTTGTTCCCTAAATCTTAATCATGGTTAGGTCTATAATAGGGTTGAATGCCTAATAATGCAGTTGAATGAATTATATATAGATATAGGTAATTATTGTTATATGTATATAAACAATATATAAAAATTATTTGAAATTATTAAATTTTAAATAATCTTCTAAAGGAAAAGTAGTTTTATATCGAAACAATAACATATAATACGCAAGTCTTATTAAGTATTGTTCGATTAAATTTAAAATTGAAAATATAAATAATTAATTAGTACATTATTAGCATTTAAACAGATATGAAATATATTGAAATTAAACATATAATAACTTAATAAAGATTTAATGAGATAATTTAAAATTTTAAAAAATTAGTTAAACGTTTTAAAAATATTTTCAAATTTAATTACTATCTAAATTTACCGAAAAATAATGTAATATATTATTTTTAACTTGTTTCATTAAATTAAATTTAGTTTATGTCTAGCTTTTAACAACTTATAAATTTATTTTTTATGTACAAACATTTTACGATGCTTTCAGAGTATTCAATTTCTCCTTAACGGATAATTTGATTTATTTTCTATAAGATACTTATTTATTTTTAATTTTTCTCAATATTTATTTTATTTTTTTTTTGAAAATAAAGTGGAATCGAATTCCATAAAATATTATGACAACTTTTACATACATCGCATGAGTAAAGGTGAATTGCTCCTCGAGAATGAGTATCTTTAATGGTAACTAACACGCGTTTAAATGATTTGCGCCAAGCACCACACCTGCTGCCATATAACCTACACCGCTGTGATGATTGCTACCCTGCTGATGTTGCTGCTGTTGCTGCTGTGGATGCTGTTGCTGGTTCTGATGCTGGTTGTGCTGGCTGTGCTGATGGTGCTGATGATGCGCATGATGATTGTGGTTATTTGCAGTCGTTGTCACGCTTACAACATCATTCGATGGCGCAATTGCGGTAGATGAGGTTAAATTTACCGCACCATTGCCGCCGGTTATCATAGTGCCATTGCCATTACCATTTCCAGTATTTCCAACATTGCCACCGACAACAGCCGTACTCACACTCGCACTCACACCCAATCCAATGCTACCAACACCACCAACACCAGTAACACCGCCATCAACAGTCTTCACGGCCACTACACCGATTGGTGTCGTAGCTGCTGTTGTACTTGTGCTCAAACTAGTGCCGCTAATGTGTGCACTAATACCACTCGGTACACTTGACATTACAGTACCAGAACGTACCAGCTCCTCGTTGGGTATGGAGAAGTGACGATATGAGATAAATTCGGGTGGCATAGCTGCTTGCCGCTTGGCATTCTCTATGCGCTGCTTCTTCAACTTAACATAGCTAAGCACCGATATCATTACGATAAATACTATGATGCCCAGACAACAGCCCACTATGAGTCCTAGGCGGCGCGTTAATATCGAATGTATGAAGCCATTGCTTGAAAGGCCGTTTTCGTCGGTGATTAAACTTGGCGTCGAGTCGAGTGTTTGTACGTCGGTGCAAGTGGAAATGTGTGAATTTTTTAACACTTCCTGCAATGCATTGTCGGTCATAACTGTGTTCTCGATTAGTGCCTGTTGTTGTTGTGGTTGAGCTTGCGTGTGCTGATTCAGAAAGTCTATATGGTCGCCCATGTTATCGGCGTACATTTGCTGATATGCATGATGCTGCTGATACGGATGTTGCAATTGATGGGATTGATATTGCTGTTGCTGTTGCTGCTGCTGCTGTTGTTGTTGTTGGTGTTGGTAAAAAAGCTGATTGGTACCACCAGCTTCATCGCGCAGCATTAGGAATGAGTCGTTAAAATGTATTCTTTGAAGTGCGTTTGCCACAGGCTCGGAAAGCCAATTACCGGTGCCAATAACGCAAATATGATACCGTGTATTCGCGTTAAGTTTTGTTAGTTTTGCTGAGTGTGCCGTGCCGTTCAAACGTTTGCCTCGTATCTGAAAAATAGATTTAAAAATTTTTGTGATTTCTAGCTATGAAATGTAATCAAAATTTAATTTAGTGGTGACCTCAATTTCAGGTTTCGAATTTAATTAACGTAAAATTCGAGTGTTAAGGAAAGGATAGAATGTTCATTGCCAGAACTTTTGACTGTTAACCGCAGGAAGCAATTAAAATATGATATTTCGTTCAAATGGTTTCTAGTGAAGAGCACAATTTCTGAGTTAAGTAACGATGAAGTTACGTTATTGGAGTATTAGTCGGAATTAATAACAAAAGGATTTAAATTGGATCACTTGTAAAAGGATTACAATAAGATTTGAACGAGGTGTAGTATTAAATACATTTCTAACAGGAATTGTTGTCATAGGTTAGAGTGGTCAGATATTTACATAAATGACCATATACCTACATATAATGGTGTATGTGGACTTATGTGTTATATATTTATATTATAAATATTTTTAGAATTGTTGTCATAGGCCGGAATAGAGTAGTTATTATAAATTTTTATGTCGGAAGGAAAGTAATATATTTTTAAGCAGGAACTATTGTTATAGGTCTAAGTGGTTACATGTCTACATATATGGCAGTATATACCGCTGTATATATGTCTAATTTGTTATATATTTTTATAACACATTTATAAAAGACGGTTTTGAGGAAAGGAAATATACATTCTCAAACTTGAATCCTAGTCATGCTTTAGAGTGGTTGCATATTATGCTGTATATATGTCGTGTTTGTTATATATTTTTATGATTCCTTTATGATTCGATTTTGAGGAACGAAAATATGCATTGCTTAACAGGAATTGTTGTTATAATTCAAAGTGATCACATCTTTATGCAAATGATTATATATAATGCTCTATATATGACTTATTTGTTATATATTATTATGGCATTTTTTAAGATTGGTTCGAGGAATACATTTTTTAACAGGAATTATTGTTATAGGTATGGGAATGTTATAAGTGTTATGTATATGGGAGTACATAACAGTTTATATAAGACTTAATTGTTATCTGTTTTTAAACTATTTTTCTAAAAGACGGTTAAGAGAATAGGAAAAATATATTACTTTATTGGAGTTGTCATAATTTAGACTGGTAATTTGTCCATATGAATGAACATACATAATACTGTATATGGGATATATGTGTTATATATTTTTATGATTCCTTGCTAAAAACCGGTTTTGGGGAAAGAAAAATATATATTGGCTAATAGAATTTGTTGTTATAGTTAAGTGTGGTCATATTCTTACACGAATTATCATATATAATGCTGTATATATGACTTATTTGCTGTATTTTTTTGAAGAATGCATGTGCAAAGCTGTTTTGAAGAAGGAATAAAATGGATATTTCAGCAGGATTTATTGCTATAGATTGGAATGGTCATAAGTCTATTCAAGTCACCTTTTACATTATTATTTACATATCACTTATTTGCTGTATTTTTCTCTTGAATGGGTTTGAAGTATGATTAAAAACATTTTTTTGTTCCGATTAGTTAGAGAGTGCATGTAATGATGACATTTGTATATGTAAATGATATATGTGCTTATATTATATATATATAAATAGAATTGTGTACTGTGTTTCAATTTAACTATTAAGTAAGATCTTTTATGATTTCATCTAATGAATTTGCATTTCATTTAAAATTTTTATATACATAAAAATTATAGTATTTAAAGAATTGTTCGATTAACTCGATAACGTTAATAACAATTTTTATATCATCTTAATCTCTACATCAACTTGGTAATCTTTGTTTCTCAATTACTAGTACTTATTGAACTCATTATCTGGACAATTAATTAGCTATTGAATTACAGCAAATTCAGTTGAGTTGACAACAAAATTACTGACGCTTTCGCATAATTTTCAATTAAATTTTTTCATTTATCTGTTTTTCATTTACTGCTAGTGCCTTATAGGGGACTTACCTCATCAATATCCATGCCGCCATCTGTTGTTGAATGGTAAACGATTTCGTAACCATTTAATCCTAAATGTTCGCGACTCTGCCATGAAACGACAACTGAGTATGGTTGTATATCCTGTATGGCAATTTTTGGTATTAATGGCGCATCACAAAACTGTTTTGGTTCCATTTTAGCGAATATCTTGCCACGCAGCTCCGCCGGAAGTTCGCACCTGAGGTAATTAATATTATCACCCGTTGCGGACCATTTTCGATGATCACGTAACCATTCCCACAGTTTCTGTGCATCACAGCTGCAATGCAGTGGATTTTCTGTTATTTCGCAGTTATTGTTTTGTAGTTGCAGTTTTCGTAATTGTTGTTTTTGTAGTTCATTTTGTTGGTTTAGTAGTTAAATTTGTTACCGTTTCAGATGTTTTGTCATGGAGTTTTGGAGGTTTGACGTTGCCGTGTCGTTGCCGTGTCGTTGCCGTTCCCGTTGCCGGTAGTCAATGGTTGATGTTGGTTAGTTAAATGTTGATATTTCGTCGAGAATTGTAGAATTCGTTTTTGGTGAGCAATCATTTTTTTTGGTCGTTTTGTTGTTGTTGTTGTTTTTTACAAGGATTTGCGCAGTGACAATAATAGCAATGCAGCACATGAAAGTAAAGTACAGTAAAATTTTATTAATATTTACTATTATGTACCTTCAGGTGTGTCATCACCACGGTACTTTGTATTTAGAAATTTTGTAAATTGCACCCAAATGCAGTATAACCAATTTTATCTATTTTGTTTCAGTAATAAACACACAAAAATATATAAAGTAAAATATTTTAAATCCTTTTAAAAATATACAAACTGGTATATATAGTTGTAATTTTTATAAAATGTTAATCTCAGAATTTTAAAAAATAATTCAAATTTTTGGATTCTAATTTTTGGACTCAATATTACTAATTAATATCTGCATATTATTAAATAACACACATAATATACATATTTTAATGGTATACCATATTTTTAGGCTATACTACTACTATACTCACTGCTACTTTACTACTCATAACTTGACTGCTTGACCGAAACCATTAAGAAAACTGACACTGACTAGAATCGGTTAATAGAAAACGAGTTGTACTTTGTTATGATAATGCTTTACGGAACTACTTAGCGAAACTGGGTTGGAAAGTTTTAGTACATGCACCATAGAGCTTGGAACTTGTTCTATATGACTACTATTTGTTTACGTCTTTGCAAAACTTTTCACATGATAAAAAATTGGTCTACCGAAAATCACTTGGCCAAGACTTTTGCCGATAATTCATACATATTCTACACGGATGTAGTTATAAAGGTACTCGAAAAATGGGATAAAAGATTATAAACACAATACATTTTTGTTCAAAATATGCCACAAACCGAGGAACACTTTTATAGCACCCAGTAAAACTGTTAATAATTGTTATACTGAGCCTTTGTATATTTTAAGTAAATACCGAAATATGACTGCATAATGTATCATCCCCGGTAAAACAAGCCTATATAAAAAGGCGAATAAAATCTAGTGGGTACCACCCGATACTGTTTTAAGTAAAAATGGTAGTGGGTGAGCTTTACTTGCGGCACCCGATCTGACGTGTAAATCTAGGGCGTAGATTAAGGTCCACACCTTTGACTGTCTTAAACAATTCAGGGTGATTTTCTTAAAAGGAGTATTGTAGTGGTTGTTCATAAAACTTAAAGTTATGCGAGCGAATGTAATGACTGAATTCATTACTTTAATTGGATGAATAGTTGTATTTACAAACATAGTGCTGTGCCCCAAAAAGTTGCAGAAAGATCTAAAGTCATAGATCTTGCTCCCATCAAAGAAGTAACCTATATCCAAAAAAAATATTTCAATTGGTACCAGTGTAATTTATTGAATTTATACTAGTGACGTTTATCTTTGCATTATATTGATAAGCTATATAAGGCGGGTTATAACGTTACGAAACTATGGTCTCTGCATAGTTTACCAATATTTATTTAGATTGTCTAAGAAGTGAAAGAAAAAAAGAAAACTAAATGATTAATTTGCATCATATACGCTAATATATATTATGGATATATCACTGAACACAGTCCATGCACGTCTTTATATGGATTCTAAAGCTTATTAAAATTAATTGCTTCTTATCAAGTTATATTGGACATTTTGCAAGAAAGTTGGTTTAAAAAAATAATGGTTCAAGTAAATTTTGAAACGTGCTAACCAAATTTAAGCTTCGGCTTATATAAATCCTATATCCAGTATACTATATCTCTATAGAAGATATCCTATATCTTTTATGCTATATCTTTTATCCTATATCTCTATAGTAATCTCAACAAGTAACTTAATAATGTATTGAAAAATTGCATTGAATATTTTTTTCTTCTTGTCAATGTGTGTTCAGTATGAGCAAACAAGATAATAGAGAATTTTTGCTGCATAAAGTGCATTCTCAATCAAGTCTGAATAATAATTCCATATCCCATAACATGAATTTACTCGATACCTGACATATTTCCAAGAAAATATTTCTCACAATATTGAAAATATACATTTAAATAACGAGAAACATTTTTACGTGCAGCTTACCTTCCAATTTTAGGGTTTTTATATTCGTTTCCAATGGTTTCAGTGCATCAATGGGTATCAATTCGAAATAGTTTTTGCGCAAGTCGAGCACATCCAATTTTCTGAGGTATCGAAACGCGTCTGTCGAAAGCACAGTCATGCGATTTCCCATCAAATAAAGCTGCACCAAGCCGTGCAAATTGCGAAAAGTCTTTTTCGATATACGATCCAGTTGATTGAAGGATAAATCGCATGTTTGCAGCTGTGCTAAGTCCGCACTAAATTCCTCCAAGTCCTTCAAGCTGTTGTGCGAAATATTCAGCGTACGCAGCAAGGATAAGCCTTGCAAACGTTCCTTTGGCAGCAGCTCCAGTTCATTGACGCTTATGTCGAGGGTTAATAAGTTCGTGAGTGATTTAAAGGCGCCGGGTGAAATGCGTGTAATACGATTATTCACAAGGTGCAAATGTTGTAGCGCTTGAAATGCTTCAAAATCCTTTGAGGTGAGTATGGATAAATTCGTTTGACAAATATAGAGCTCCTTCAGATACGGGTAACGTTCTTCTTTAACAGTGTAAATTTTATTGATTGGATTTCCAGTTAGATTTAGCCAAGATAGGCGTGGTATTGAGACATCAGATAAAGCGGAACTCGGAATTTGCAGAAAGCGATTGCTAGACAAGTCAACGCGCTGCAAGTTAATTGAGTGACGCAAAAAATTAGCCGGTAGTGATAACAGCAAATTACCACTCAAGTCAACATTGTCCAGTTGTGTTAGATTCACTGCATTAAAACCGCTAAGTGAAGTGATTTTATTATCGTTCAAAAATAATTGTCGTAGATTGAGTGTTCCGCTAAGTTTAAAAAAGTCGATGACGCTCAGTTGATTTCGTGACAAATCTAAGATTTCCAGTGTACTCAAGTTATATAGAGGTATGTGTGGAAATTCGAATAGATTATTATGGCATAGACGAAGTTCCTTAAAAACGTTGAGGCCATTAAAAATATTGCGATTCATGACGGTTAAGTGATTGTGACAAAGGTCAATTTTGACTAAATTCGTATTTTTTGTGAATAATTGGTCTGGTATTGTACCTACACTGCAGTTGGCCATGGTGAGGTGCTGTAGGGAACGTAATTTATCGAACATGCCAGCTATAATGCCACCTACACCCACGTTACTAAAATTATTGTGTGATAGCTGTAGGGTTCTTAAGCCAGGTACGTCTAATTTTTGTATATCGGCAGGGTTTAAGTAATTCTCTTCGAAATTTAACACATTCAAGTTCTGCAAGGACTTGAATGTATGCATCTCAATTTTACGCAATGAAGTGTTGCGCAAATTGAGATGTGTCAATGATAATTCATCCATAAAAACGTCCTTTGTGATTTGTACTAGAGGATTATTTGACAAATCTAAAACTCGCAAATTCTTCAGTTTGTTGAAAGCATAACCTTCAATAGCTTCTATATGATTATCGCACAAGGAAAGTTCTTCTAAGTTATGCAATGCAGAAAAATATTCCCGACGCACATGCTTAAGCCGATTATGGCTCAAATCTAAGAACTTGAGATTCTTCAACGTGCTAAAAGTATCTTTGTCAATATCACGTATGTGATTGTTGTCCAGATATAAACGACTTAACTCCTTAAGATCAACGAACATGGACTTCTCAATTTTTGTGAGTTTATTATCACGCAGCCACATAATCTGTATACGTAACTGATGGCGAAAGGTTTTTGTATGGATCTTGTGTATATAATTCGACTCGAATTGTATGGAGAGCAAAGAGGAGTTAACATTTTCATTTGGAAAGATGTCTTCCAACACAGTTAGTTGGTTGTCTTGCAAATTTATGTGCTGCATATTGGTTAGTGTATAAAACGCACCCGGCTCTATATCTTCGATGTTATTTTTTTGCACATGCAACTCCTGTAGAGCCGGCAATGGTTCGAATACACCTTTACGTATGCGACGTATGCGATTGTTGTGTAGGCGTACTTCACGCAAATACTCCAGTTTACGGAACATGCCAATTTCTAGATCCTGTATTTCATTGTTGTCTAATGACAGCGAGGACAGCTTTTGGCATTTGTCAAATAGTGTCACTGGCACTAAAGGGATGAAGTTAGCGCGCAGGTAGAGATGATCTAAATTGATGAGTGTGCTAAACACATTTGGATCAATATGTGCTATAGCGTTCGATTCTAAGTAAATGACATCGACATTGGTGGAATTGGTGAATGCATCTGCGGGCAACTCTAGAATGTTGTTTTCCGATAGAAATATTTCGCGCAATTGCGGTAAATTTGAGAATACACCGCTGATAGAATGTATATGATTGTGGCTCAAATCGACAGTTTGTAGACGTTTGTTCTTGTCGAATATTTTTGAGTCCAATGAAATAATACGATTGTGTGACATATCTAATGACATAAGTTCCTTGAGACTCTTAAAAGCATCTGGTTGTACTATTTCGATCTGGTTAGCATATAGAGAGAGAGTTTTAAGTAATGGAAATGCGCGAAAGCAATCATCAATAATTTCTGTAAATTGATTTGAGCTGAGACCGAGAAAAATAAGCGATGGTAAACGCAGGGTAGCTACCGCTGAGGCATTATTAGTTGTTAAGGTGATGTCACCATAAAATGTTGAGATTTTATTATTTGACAAACGTAATGTGCGCAGATGATCCAGTTTTCTCAAAGCCAGCAAAGGAAAAGTACGTAAGCTATTCTCAGACAAATCAATTTCTTGCATTGACTCCTCAAGACCCGCAAAACCATGCTCTGGAATAGCCTGTAGTCGATTGCCTTTCATATTGAGCTTGGATAGCCGTAGACCATAGAAACTATAGTTCTCTATCTTCGAGATTTCATTGTAGTCAAAGTCGAGCGCAGTTAATTTTTGCATGGAACTCAGCGCACGCGATGGTATCTGCAATAAGTCAGAAAACATTTACTCAGATTAATTATTAAGTTTTGTTTTATCTGAAAAAAATATGCAATGTATTTATTCAGTGTATTTTGGATCATAATTAAATAATAAATTTTTCAATCTGTTGGAAGCATTAAACAAACAGCATTCAATATTTATGTGCGCGGCAGTAACTTGCTTTTTTCGCGGCACAATTTGCCGCCATTGTTATTCAATTTATTGTGTATTTGTGTAGTTGTGTATTGTGTAATTGTGTATTGTGTATTTGTTTACTCTTATACTTTTTTACACTTCCACTGGTTTACTGTGCTGAACCCATGAACAACATTAACGGGGTTAACAAATATTTGCACAAGTGCATTCATAAATATTGCAATTTAATTCACGTAATGTTCTGCTGAGCATAGCGAGCTCTGAAAAGCCGTTTTTATTGTTATTCTGCGATTATTAAATGATGCACTGCAATTGATCTGACTTTCTGGAATGAATTAAAAATGCACTCCGATTTACCAACAACGCATCAACTGCATTAATAAATAATCATTTGAAGACACTCGGGCGATTTGTCCGTGCGCCCCGAGATACGGCGTATAGCGAATATTAAATATTTTATTTAAAACTGAATAAAACCAAACTCAGAGACTTTAACGAATTCATTAAATGCTATTCTGGATTTCGATTTAATTTAATTTGCTTGTTTTAATTGCTTTGAGTCAATTTGCTTCACTTTCAACAAACATAAATTGATTGTTTCAATCAAGCTCTTTTGCCATATCTATTAATTGATTAATTGATTGATTTAAATTGTCTTTGAAGTTAAACTTAAAATCTTTCAAATTTTAGCTTTAATATTTCTTTATTAAATATATTTTATTTTAATAGTGGGCACATATTTCCCAAGTTTTTGTTTGAAAGTTTTTATGGACCTTTACCACAGGACTCTTAATAAACTCAGTTGCATTTACATCTGCTACCATAATTAAGTCTCTTGTTTGGATTTCAATTTTTGCCTTTTTGATATTTATGACCTTATGCGAATATCTGACACTAAAAATCATGCCAATTCATACAACCAATATAACACAATGAGCTTAATTTCCATAGCATTTAAGCAAAAATAAATGCCTTTATTGATGTTTATATTGTATGGAGAAGTGGCATAAAATGTCAATTTGAATGGCTCAATTCGATTGCTAGTGAAAAAGAACTATTCCTTGAGATAAAAGACAGATAGTTTTTTCATTTTAAGCACACTAATATTCTTTAAGTTTACCTTACAGTGAGACTTTTTTAATATCTATCCATGGATAGCCATGGAGGTTTCCATGGTAAGGAATGTTTGTCTCAAAAGAAATCTAAAATGCATCAGGCATCATATTGTACTACTTTAAATTATAACTAGTAATAATTGGTTTTCATTTTCGGCACCTGATCAGGGATGTGTTTCTGACAACATGGCATCCAGGTATTTAATTCGATTATTTTGGACATTTGTTTTTCTCTGTGAGAGAATATAATAGTGGCTGCGATTAATACAAGTTACGTAGAAGGACTGCCAATGTCTCAATGTTATTTAACGTAACATTCTGTGTCTTCACGGTCTAATATTACGGTATTCAAAAACATGTGTCTTAATACAATCAACGTTCCATTGGAATTTCATTAGAAATTTCTACCGGTAGCAATGAAGAAATGCGTACAGGCATAACAGCCACCTTGGTTTAGCGTGCGGGCCATCTATACCTCTGCCACTTTTGGGTCGTAGCACCGGTGATGAAACGCAACTCTACACCGAGTAAATGATGCAATCTTCCCGCGTAAGATTGGTATCAACCACAGCCACTACGAGTCCAACTACAAGTGATCAGCACAGCCGAAGCTGCAGACACTGATCCCGCTAGTACCCGATTTAAACTTGCGGTCGTGTATCACAAGTGCAGACCTCACTTACTACCATGCAAACTTCTGTACATTGTCGGCGTGGTACATGGATTTAAATCGCCTTTTACGACAGGCATACCTTACTTAGCGAATATTCTAATCACTTCACCGAAGGGGGTGAAGTGATGTGGCGTTGCATTTTATTAAGAAAGTGCACTCGATACCAGTAAGGAAGAAATATATAAACATATAAGATTTTTTACTACCGGCGGAATTGATGATACATATTTAATCAACATATTATATTGATATGTGTGTTTTGAATACCCTGGTGTTACTTGCCTTGATAGTAGCTAACTACAGAAAAAAACTAGGACTGATATTCGATTACCTGAAGTTTGAGGCTGCAAACAAATAATATTTTAAGCACATATTTTTTTATGTCTATGGTGTTTGACGACATTTTTTAATCATTAATGACTTCAAATACCAGTGCAACCATTACATCAACACTTTAGATTAATATCTACTTAATCAGTTTTACTAAACTAACTTAAATCTTTGCAGTTCAGTTAATAAATAGCGTATTTAGTCAGAAATTAATACTCGTACTAGAACTCTTCCATTACGTCAAGCCCGATACATAGTGTTAAATTCAGCTATTTATTTGACAGCATTATTTTTCGTAACATATTCATTCATTTTCGTCGCTAATTCGATGTTATTTTATCACCGAGGGAGCGAAATTGCAACATCAATATTCGAACTATTTTGATTTGAAAGTCATTGTAGCTCGCGGCAAATTTAACACTAAAAAGGGTAGGAATTGGAGTTGGGAACTATCACGAAAAAGAGGAGCGACAAAAGAGGTAGTAAACTTAAATGTTAGCGATTAAGGGAAACGATACTGCAATTTAAACTAAAATGTACGGCAACATTTAATGCATTTACATAAATTACAATTTTTATGCAAATTGTCGCAAAAATACAAAACAAACCCGGGACCATCCGCGAAAACAAACGTGGCAACAGCACGTTACCCACTCGTCGGACAACGCCAGGACTGTGGTCCGCAGTACATCACGCCCAAATGCGAAACGTGCAGGTGAGAATTTTGCGTATCAGAAAAATAATATAATTTTCTGTTGTTGTTGGTGTTGTTGTTGCAAAAAGGACAAAATGAAAATATTAAAATAAAAGCGCAATCAAAATAAAATGGTTGAAGTAAAGGAGATTGAATGCACTTAACAGTGTACAACTTGCAAATTACGCGGTGTCACCAATGCTGCGCGGTAACGGAATATCCGTACAAGCGATTTACACCGATTCGATGCCCTGCCACTAAAATTTATGGCAATCGATTTAAATTTATTGTCGTGCGAAATGGCGTCAATTGAATAATGGCTGGATCGTTTGCTCTGCCAAAGGACATCGAAAGCTCCGAAAGTAGGTTGAAGCGGTCACAGAGAAAAAGTGGCACTTTTAAGCACACATAATGCATATTTTAGTGTTTCTTAGTACGGGCACCTAAGTGTTTCCGCTCAGTGGAAATTGTCAAGAAATAATTCTTTTCTTTCCAATAGCCTCGCCTTGCGCTCCTTAATCAAATAAATCAAAGTTGAGAATATTTTTTCTTAGAATATGAATAATTTTATTGATTGGAAATTTTTATGTATATTTTTACAATTTTTTATCATTATTACTTTTTATTGAATTTATGCCATGTAGTACGTTGTGAATGTAGAATCATCCTTTGGTGGTTATAAAATACCAGTGCTTATTTACGGCATTCACGTGCTTTTTCACCCAACTTCATGCCATGGCAACCCCGACGGCTCACGAGCATGAGTTCTAAAATTTAAAATAAATAAATTATTTAATAAAAGTTCCATAAATTTGAAGAGAACTTACGGTTACGGGAACCTCTCAAGCAATTAGCGCGTCTAGCTTGGCAATTGGTCATCAAACGACAATCGTTGGCTTTGCTCCAGTAACAGTTAACAGTCTTCTTCTCAGAACAAGGTAATCTGCAGCGTTTAGTACTTCTCTTCTTTCTTCCAGCACAGAGTCCGCTTCCATCTTTTTGAATGTTGCGACATCTGCTCTGGCTTGTTTTCTTGAGTGCTAAAATTTTAAGTAATTGATAGATTAATAAGTGATTACTTACGTCCTCAGTCTCTACTCACGTGGTTGACCAATAGACTTAAGTCTGCAGTTCTCTTCGCGGAACTTGCACTCCCGTAATCTGCGGCAACTATTCACAGTACCCCTCTCTCTTATACAAACCGAAGGGCTTGGTTTGTTACGACGACATTGGGGTCTGCATTGTGCATTAGCTGTGGCAATCACAACAAGGATTAAAGCTGCAGAAGGTTAAACATTTTTTATTAGTTGTATTTAAATCACTTTTAAATTAAATACTTACCGAATGCTAAAATGTATTTATTCATCTTAAAGTTTTTTTGGATTTTTTCGTTTCACCGCTATAATTAACGAGAGTTGAATGTGATATGGACTGTCTTCTTCGCTCGGTATTTATACTTAATTTTCGAAAACTCCACAACGTTTTGCTTTATCATGAAAACAATGACATGCTTTATAGTTATTATTGTATATTGTGAGGGAAAATGTGAAATATCTTAATTCTTCCCATCACAATTAAGACTTCCATGTGTGATTGAAAATTTAAATTCGATTTTTGACTGCTTTATTTGCACTCGAATAAATAGCAGAAAATTTTTATTCTTCATTGTTCTCAGGAAGAAAAAGACGCGGTTAAGTAAATACAATTCTGTTTTAAATTCGTGTTGTGATTGTTGTATTAATTACACATTAACATAATTTCAATTTTATTCTTAATATTTACTTAATAAACTTTTTTGTACTTAACAATTATTTACTGTTTACCTTCACTCTTTACCAGAGTAAAGAATTTCATATTGTAACCTATTGCTTTAAGCATTTTTTATATAATAATATATAATAATTTCCAGCTTTAAGCCTCGATATCTGGAGTCTTAAACTTCATTGCTATAGAGCGTACTGAAAAATGTTGCTTAGAATAAACGACTTCACATAAATCCTCTGGCAAATCGGGGTGTCTCAGAACAGGTATTACGTGCATTTAGGTGGGTATGAAAGTTGAAAAAATTGTCGACCTATATCAACACTATTGGCCATTAAGTTTTAGATAGAAATGTCGATTATAATGCGTTTCCACGTTTTGAGAACTATATAGATTTCTTTAAAAATTTTGGTAACCGATGCATCATGATGTAGGAATAAGCTGATAACTCATTGTCGTAATAACTCATCGTGAAAAAAGGCATCTTCTGTCGATGGTTATGGATTACATTATATGTTATGCTGCTTCTATATGGGTAGTATCAACAACATACCCGAAACGACTGGTAGCACAGAAACACAGGTGCCGTACATTGCTGGTTGCCTTTGCTTAACAGTATCCGATGATGCAATCTGTGGCATTGCAGGAAAGTTTCCAGAGGCATTACATGCAAAAGAGGTAAGCCGCCTTTATACCATTTAAAGCGTGACAACGATGACAGATCAAAAATCTGTCGAACACTTGTATTTGCTTAGAAAATATCAGTAAATTTAGAAATAGTCGTCCATGCAGCGCTGAAACTATGCACTCAATCTCAACATTAAAAAGTAGGGTGACTAAACGTGTGGTGAATTGTACTTCTATTTGACCCCAAAACTGAGTAATCACTGATAGTTTCCAGAATCCGTTTTCACCATTTTCAGTTGGCAGATATTCTGTTCTGTCCAAACTATTAAAAAGTTGCTAAAAGCGAAGAACATGTGGTCTTTCATTGACTACATGTTCGATTTAAAGAAGAGCGCGAACGAAAGGAAAATGAAAATGAAAAAGAACAGTTGAAGAGAGTGTAATATAACAGCATGGATGACAGATGAGGACACACAGGTGAATAATGCATCGATCACATATAATCACATCAGTTTCTTCAAGTTTTTTAGCAGTTATTTCCAAATTATATTAATTGTATTAATCACAATCTTCTCATTATATATGGAATGAACTAAGTACAAAACCATAATTTATATATAAAACTTTCACAGTTTTATTGCGGTCACCTATTGTAAAAAAAATTCATATCGTGAAATAATAAATCATACATGATACCAGTATCTATATCTATGATATAGATAATGGTAGATACCAGTTGCACTACATCTCGCAAAAGATACTGCTCATTTAGGATCATAGTTGATAGGTGATATTAGGAGATATTTCAATTAGAGCAAACTTAGGATCGAAGACTGTGGTTCAACGAATCTTAGACGCACGTTATCTAGTGAAATAGAGTTAGGTACTGACACGACAACCATATTGTCGTTTTAATAAAACAAGCAATGTTTTTAGTAATAGTTTTATTCCACTGATATCTCTTCTTGTGAAAGAAGAGGAACCGAAAGTCTATATATGCGTTTTAAATAAAGCTTTTGACTGATATAATTCTTCTTCTTAATAATGTACCATCGGTGATGCAGTCAGATTATTTAGGGAAGAGCGATTGAGTCTAGTTAGTTATTGTTGCAATATTCTTTGTTATTCATGAGAAGTAGATCTCTTAGCTGTTGAGCAGTTAGGAGATCTCAGGTCCTTATTGACAATTTTAAACAGCTTTTGACATTAATATAAAGGAGTACGGAAATTTCAAATTTTCTTTTAAATTTTTTAAATACTTTGTAGCTAAAGTTTAGGGCAAAGAAGAAATCATAAGCTTTTTCTCTTACAAATGCTATCGAATGCATTACTTTACCAAGTAGATATTATTTTGATGTGTTTAAATGTATTTAAATATTCTATATTTCCTTGTCTACCCACGAAACAATTAAAACCGAATAATTGTAATTTTAAAAAAATTTAGTTTTATTTAAAATAAGTTTCTTATAATATAAATATTGCCTTGTCAATGTTAACACTTTGTGGCAAGGGCCTGGAGCAGCGCATAACTTTATCGTTAACTTTCATGCCACGACAACTTCCCTTGTCAGCTCGACGCCATACTGAAGTAAAAAAAAAAAAACAAATATTCAAGAAATTAAATAAAAAAGAAACTAATTTTTACACTGGATTCTAAAATAAACTTACATCCTCTTGGCCGCGAGCGACAGTTCATGTTTTGGAGTTCGCAAGTGTTAGCAACCAGTCGGCACCATCTGCGGTTTGTGCTTCTGACACACAATGACTGGCTAGCTGGGCGAGGACATTTTCTAATGACACACACTGGTGGAGGCATGCGTCTGCAACGAGCTACGCGACCCACTCGAATATTTCTGCATTGTGCTACGGCCGTTCCCCTCCAACCTTGGATCCAGTTTGTATGAGAAAATGTTAATTTTTTTTTGCATAATGAAGAGATTTGATTTTGCTTTTACTTACGATTTCTTCGTGCTGGAATTTTGCAGTTGGTCCTATCGTATTCACATACATTTCTGAATCTACGACACATGCCACGACGATTGCGCCCACAAACATTTCGACTACGTCGTGTACAATTTTTACGTGGCCTACAAATTCTGGTAGTTGTTGATGGAACTGTCACACGTGCTGTAGTTCTTGAACGTGTAGGCTTAGTAACTCTTGTAGGCCTGGTACGTCTCGTTGGCTTGGTAACTCTTGTAGGCCTGGTAGCTCTCGTTGGTTTAGTTGCCCGTGTCGGCCTGGTGACTCGTGTAGGCTTTGTAACTCTTGTAGGCCGGGTACGTCTCGTTGGCTTGGTAACTCTTGTAGGCCTGGTAGCTCTTGTTGGTTTAGTTACTCGTGTCGGCCTGGTCGCCCGTGTAGGCTTAGTAACTCTTGTAGGCCGGGTACGTCTCGTTGGCTTGGTAACTCTTGTAGGCCTAGTAGCTCGCGTTGGTTTAGTGGGCCTTGTACGAGCTGTTGTCGTTCTTCTTCTACGTGTTGTAGTAGTTGTAGCTCTAACTGTTGTAGATTCAGGTGCATCTGTTAACGGTTCTGGTTCCTCTGTTGTTACTGCTGTTGTTGTTGTTGTATTATTTTGTGCTTTGGTTAAACTATTTGCATAAGCAAATATTAATAGAGCAACTGTAATGGAAATCATGCACCATAAGAAAAATGTTTCTTTTAATTACTTTGACTTACCAAATACCAAGTGTATGGTCCTGCACATTTTTTCGGTTTATCTGTTATGCTTGAGTGATATCTTATGCTAATTAACTGACAGTATTTATACTAGCATTCTACCAGCTCTACTCATAACTCACTTTTGTTGAAAACATTCTGCATATTCACTACCAAATCCAACTGTTTCTGGCAACTTCCGCATTTTCAGTAGTAAATGACTTCATTTTTGTCAGTTTCTTGCCACTTGAAGACAGACAAATTAATTGTTGTAATTTTGTTTACTGGAGAAGTTGTTTAATTGCTCACATTTATAAACATTATTGTTATTATTTCTTGTGTGTTCTCTGCTTAATAAAATATTTTTCATGAAAATTTGTTAATGATTTTTTAGTAATTAAAATTGTTTCGTTGGTAACGCTTTGAAAGCAGAAACCCTTTCTGTTCAAAGAGCCAAAAAATTACATGTAATCCGACATGAAATATAAAGCAACAAAAAAACGCTTACAATTTAGTGTCTTTTTATTCGGAATTAATTTTTTGGGACTTTATAATTCTGATATTTCTCATTTTTAACGGTTATTAACTTTGGCAATGAGTTTCTGTCTTGAGCTCTTCGCGTACGCCTCCTTGCGGTTCTCCTAGGTTTTATGAATTATTTGAATTTGTCTTGAGCGGCGGTGCTACGCGGCGTATACGTAACCTCATAACCCAAAACAATTCAGCGAAGGAAATGAACTGGAAATTCGCGTAATTGGACTTGATTTAGTGTTTCTTCACGCGCCATTTTATTGCTTCGTAGACATGTGTTTTCCTTTATTATTATTTTTATTCATTCCTTATATTATTTTATTTTATTTCATTTTATTTTATTTCATTTTGGTTTGGTTTGGTTTGGTTTGATCTGGGAGCACATTTCAAAGCCGCGACGCAGCGAGGAGTTTGGAGAAAATTATTTTATTGAGTGCAATTGTTTTTTTTTTTTCTTGGGTACGAAATTTAGGAATTTTTCTTCCCTTCGGTTCACTTTCTCCTACTCGGAATGTCTTTGTTCTTTGCGCTCGTAAGGGAATCTTTTGATTTTTATTTATGTGTTTTTGTTGTAAAATTGTTGAAAGTTAATGGCTTAGAAAGCAATTTTTAGCTGTTTTCGCTTTTGTTTTATGTACTTGTGGAACTTAATTAGCTTATATTTGGATGCTTTATTGCTGCAAAACAGATTTCTGGAATTTATGCCTTTCACTGAACCCTAACGAGTTTAGCTTTTATTTAAGAGGCAAAAAAATAGAGCTTTTTTTTAATACGTATATCTATTTATCTAATCCTCAAGGTTTGTAGAAAATAAATTTATAAAAATAATGTGATATTTTACAAAATATATGATAAAAATGCTTATATATGTTTTTAATATACCTTCTGTTCAAAAAGTATCCGGATTTTGTAATTTGTTAACTACTCCGTAAGTAATAGACCTATTTCAAAAATTTTTTCTTTGTTATGTTCGTATACCCTTTCTTGACATATGGTAGAAAGTTGAGCGCCATCTGTCAATTAGTTTGTTTACAGCAGCTGTTAATATGAGAGTACCTCAAGTGCTTTTAGCGATTTTTACTATGGAAAATTCTTGTTGTAGGCGATTTTTTGACCAAACGCGTCATCACTGTCATCGCTCAGGCACCATATTCGCCAGATCTGGATCCGTGCGATTTTTTCCGGTTCCCGAAACTCAAATTGCCCCTTCGAAGTAAGCGTTTTGAGTCGATTGAATCGGTTTGCTAAAGGAACTAAAGGCCATACCTTCACGAGAATACGTAAAGTGTATGGAAAATTGGTTTAAACGTTGGCATATGTGTATCGCTTCAGAAGGAGCAGATTTTGAAGAAGATAAAATAAATTTGCAATAAAATTTAAATTTGTATGTTTTATTTACAAAATCCGAATACTTTTTGAGCAGCAGGTGTACCTATTAAAATCCAATGCATTATATATTAATTATGCTAAATGGCTTGATCAATTAAAGGCCTGTGGGAACACCAGGTGCTATTAAGATCATTTATTTTATCATTTACATATATTTTTAATCTTATTAAAACCCACATTTTTAAGTATCTCGTATACGATCTTCAGCCACTTTTTAAAATAAATGGCATATACCCATTCTTTTGTAGCTAAAATCAATAGAATTATCCAATTAAACTGACTCTCTTATTAAAACTTAAATTTTGTTTTTTTTTTGTTTTAAATAGAAGTGAACAATGAAATTTTTACTTTTTATTAATTGAATTTTTGGTTGCTTCAAATATTGGAATAAAATTCAATTTGACAGAAACAAATTTTCTGGTGTTTACTACCAATCAAACATAAAAAAAAACCATAGCTATTGATACTACGACTCGGGAAGTATCGATGATTATGACGCCCTCAAAATTGTCTGGGGGAAACGAGTTACGCTAGCCTTTATTATATTATTGTTATTACAATAATATAATTTTAATTTTATAAATTATTATTAATGCTTATTATTTATGTTAAGTGTTTATATATATCTTATGTGTATATATATATCTTATATCTTATATATCTTATAGTTACAAATATTCGACAAATCGATTTTCATTACAGTCACCGAACAAGCAAATAAATGGTCTCCAAGATATTGAAGTCGCTATGCCTGGATAGGGTAATAAAACGTAATTAATGGATCCATTTTTTTTGTCGGAATAGGTGCCCATTGAAATATCAGTGCAATGGCCTTAAAACTCCAATAATCACACAAACTGCATATCTGCTGTAGCTCAAAATATTTTTCGTTTAATTTATGTTTACTCTAAGGCATAAGGTTCTAGCAACGTTTCATTCTTTACTCCACAAATCATTTGGCATTATAATAGTATATACCTATATGCTCGTAAAGTATTTACACATCGAAAATTGTACCATCGTATCGTTTTCGGAAATTTGGAATCAAATTGACTTCCTCAACTTATTGAGAAAGATTTGATCGTCCTTTCACTTTATCTACCTACCGATGTTTGTAGATTCTAACAAAAGTCAGTAAGATTCTCCGCTTACTTTGACAACCTTTTGGTTAGACTTTCATTTGGTTAGTCTTTAATTTCGTAATTTCGACTTTTAGCATTCAAAAACTGAATATCTTGATTCTCTATGAAATAATTAAAACAGCAGTCAATATATAGACGAAGTATAATATTAACTTCGAAAGTTGTGGATTGTAGATTGCGGCTACATATCATCTAAATGTTAGATAAATTTTAATGCTAATAGATATATTTGAAGTTCTAGCTTCATTAATGCAATAGCTAATTTTCTGCATAGGTTGAAGTTTTCTTTAAAATAAAATGGTTTTTATATACCTAAAGAAGTGAATACTTCTAAGAATAACCACCTTAATTAGGTTGAGTATATTCCTAACATATGTTGTGTCAGAATGAATATAGGAATTATTAAACTTCGAATCAGTTTCTATATAAGTCCATTTCTTTATGTTATACCAATATTTAACTTCCTATACAGATTTACTGTAAAATGTAGTATTTTTACTTAATTTTCATTATGTATTGTAGTCACTGAATATCTATCTTATTCAAATATTGTTACTTTACCAAAGTGACTGCTTCACTACGTAATTGAAATATTTAAGCTGCTTTTGCCTTCATTATTCCTCTATCAACATCTGCACTTTTGCATCATTGATTTGTATTTTATTTTAATATAATTAAGCACATTAAATAAATTTAAATTAGTAAATATTTACTTCGTCTGGATAGAAGAAAATCACGAATACACAAACGTTACGTTAATGATAAGCATACGCATCTGTTAAAAGTATTGAGTTGCTGCTAATTGAAGCTCATGTCAGATAGAAACACGCACGGATCCATACCGAGCAGTATCTTCACCATGTCAACAACTGTTTTGTGGAGCAACACAAACAGCACAAGCAACATATCCAACTGGAGCGATGTACTCCATTCGATAAGTGCACGTTTCACTTACACAACATGGGAACTGCATTCATTTCTTTTCTTGTAAATGAACGAGAACGGGGAAGAACGTAAGCTTAGTATGTGCCAAATTACGTAATCAAGTTACGTTTGTGTTACGTATGTTTACTTATCAATTCGGTTGCGTATATGTACATACCTGTGTTAATTTGCCATTAACAATGCTCAACGACTCCAACGTTGCACGTACGTTTTTCAGGCTGTTATCCTTGAGCGTTTCCAAATGCGAGTGCGAAAATTGCAAATGTTTCACATTGACACCAGGTTGAAAGACATCCTGTGAAAGCGACGTGACCGAACGATCAAAATCATAAATTGATAACGAATGTATTGGCCGTAATATGCGTTCCAATGTGGTACGCAATGACATGGCTGTGGTGCCAGGGCATTCCAAGAAGAGACCTTAAAATGTTTAAGAAAATATATTCGTTTAATAAGTTCATTGTGTAAGACAGTTTTTAGTAATAAAATGAAGAAGTAAAAAATCGGGTATATGAGTATGAGGACATCCATTTTTTGATTCTGAAAGTAGATCGGAATAAAACACATATACAACTGAAATTTTGATCCTATTTTAATATTGTGCCTTTAATTGGAGAGCCCTTTGAAAAAGTATTGACTCCAAGTCACATCTGCTGACTATATGCTATAGACTATATTGAACTGTGACTTTTTCTGGATGCAATGATATTCTAACAGTTAATTCTGCATTTTCACTACCCCTAATAAGCTACAGCTTTGTTCGTTGACAATTCTGTGGATACCATATAGCTTCTATATCCATTAAATTAATTAATGTTAAAAATATAAATAATTACATGGCTATGTGATCGGTATTCCTGTTTTCCGACACGTCTTCTTAATTCCTAAACAAGCACTGCCAATCAAATTTATAGACCAAATATCTAACAGTAATTTTTTGTGGATGCCATAATCTTTCCATAGCTAGATGTGGATATTACTGTTTCAGATGCAATAGCACTAATTGTAAGCAGTCTAATAGAAACCACATATCTTTTACATCAATATCTAAAGGTTCATGCTAAAAAAGACACACGGTTTCTAGCAAACCTTCTTTATTCCCAAAAAAGCATAACAATTTTAAATCTAGAGACCAAATATTAAATATATTGATTGGCCTATCATATCTCTTTAAAAACGCCTTACAATAGATTGACATTTTGTGGGAACAATCGTCCTTCGATAGTCGTTTTTGGGTTTCTACTGGTATAGATGCGACAGTTCCGATTGTTAAAACGCGGTACAGACTATCATTTTTGAGTGCCATTCAAGAGAGAAAATCTAAGAATGATGCTCAAAAATGATACTCTGCATCTTTGAATGACACGCAACCAATATTTTGGTGAGCACATCATTCAGCTTCTCGCCAACATGTCGTGAATGATAGTCTATCACTTAAAAACTTGCATTCGTCATTTAAGAAGATATTTTTGCGTAATTGCACTAATACACTTACAACGTGAGAAACACACCAACAGCGTGCGCAAACACCCTTTTCTTTCTTTTTGCTTGTATGACAACTCTTGAATGTGAGCATGTTCAAATTCGGTCGCTAGAATAAATTTGAGCAAGAGAGAGCGCAACTTGAATGACATTCAAAAATGCTAGTCTGCACTGCGCTTAGCGAAAACACCAAGCGAAAAATCTTCTCATGACTAGAAAAAAATTGATAGGATACCATTTTTATATTCTTAAAAGTTTTAATATGTTATAAATGTTCAGCGATTGTTAGGCGTGTCCTAAAGCAAAATGGAAGGCGTTTAACGAAACACATCATGTCTTAGATAACAAGTCTGTTCAGCATATGTTACTAAAATAGTCTTGTTAAATCAAGACCACCAGCTGTATAACCACCTCTCATAATTTACATATATTTCTTTTAAGACCAGTAAGGCTTACTGGTATTATTTTTTTTTTAATTTTTCTTAATTATATTTTGATGTCAATTTTCTAATATTTAGTAAAATTTTATTTTTAAATTGATGATTATGTTTACATGGAATATTTTTTCGTACTGCATTCAATACAATTCCAGTCAAAAACATATTTTTCCTTAGAAGTCACTAATCCAAAGGCACAGTAGTTGCTCATGTACTTGTAAATTTGTTTAAGGATATGACGCAAATTTCCTTGTTTATATGTTGATTGCGTTTAAATGTAAAATACGAGCACTTCGGTATTAATATGGAACCCGGAGACAAAGGCTCTCCATTAACAATGGTGCTTGTCTTTGACAATTTTCTTGAAATGGCCATATTCAGGAAGAGCAATTGTATTAAATTGGTCGTTGGCCAAATATGTCTGAACATAAAATTGTATTGCACAAATTGTTGTGTTTTTGTGTTGTTGTGCTGTTATGTTGTGTAATCTAAGGATTTAACATATTGTTTGCTTAAGCATGTCATTTACATATTTAATAATTGATCTGCTAAATCTTGTTGATTTTGTTGGAACACAAATTGAATGAAATCAAACTTTAATCTGTGCCAAGTGAGCGAAGCTGAGCATCTTTCAAATTATGCTAATTTGTTTAAGAGACCTTAAATGTGGGAAAACTAATAAGTTTAATATATGTTTATAAGAAAAAATTTTAATTAAGAAATACACAAGATTTAATGATAAAATTGGAATATTTAGGTTTTTTGCTGAAAATATTTTTACAAATTAAAACTTTGAGTTTAGGTCAAATGGTACCTTAAATCTTTTTCTTTTATCTAAGATATTAAAGTATTTAAAAGAATTTTTTTGCTCATATCAAATGACATATAAGGAGTGGTTCGTTCAAATTATCTTAACTAAATGATTCCAGATAGATCATTAAGAGGTGTTTTTTATGGCCTTTAGTTTCTAATTCTTTAAACAAATACTTAATCATTTATTACAATTTTATGCTATGTTAGTTTAAATTTCATGGGTTAGCTTATGTTAGGTAAAACCGACGGTCATAACGATCTACTCAGGCCCAAAGTGCAACTGCATAATAGTTTCCTGGAACTTAGCAGAACCTCTGCATGGCGATTCAAAGTCACTTTGTATCATTGACAAAGCCTAAAATAGCCCACTAAAGCAAGTCTATGGGAAGTTCTTGGAACTGGCTGAAGTCCTCTGAAAAGTAAGTTCATAGCCTAGTCAATATTGTTGCTCAATTTTTGATTAGTTTTTCGACTATGTAATTTATCTTAAAATTTAAATTGAATTTTGTTCTATTCGTTTTTCGTTTTTCAATGCTTTATTATCTCAAAATTATTTCACTTTAATAAAGTTTCCTTCTATCATGCACTATTTTCGAGTTATCATTTTTTAAAAGATACTACTGTTGTCTACTGGTTTTTTCAGCATTGCAAATATGTTTGGTTTTTGTTGAAAAATATCATTAGGCAACTAACTTCAAATAATACAATAATTCAAATAATACTATTGCTTGCAGACAAGCCAAAGAATCCATGCCGTTTCGATCAAAAGCCACAACTAGGGAGTTACTTATGCTAAACAGAAGTGGTATGCGACTTGTCACAGGATTCCTCACTGGGCACTGCGAACTTAAAAAGCATCTATCGAATCTAGGTATTACTAGAGACGATAGCTGCAGACTTTGTGTCAATGTGATAGTCTTGCCAGACTCAGACTTCGGTACTTATCCACTGCCAATCCGGATATAACGGAATTAGGCAACATCTCTCCAAAGGACATATTGACATTCTTAACTACTACTCGTCTATGGAACTGAAGTGGGTATGTCACAATAATCCTCAAAGGATGCAGTGACGCAGTGACAAGTTTCCAACCCTTTTTAAAAATCTAAATCTAACTTCAAATAATGAGTGGAGGAAAACGACACATGAAGGAAGAAAAATTTTTCGGAATGATAAACAGAGTAGCAGAAGATCGGGATAGATGGATGCAGATCGTGAGGATGGCCTTGGTTTACACTGAACTGTAGTGCCAAATAAGAAGAACATAAATAGTTCAATATAAAACATTCAGCTTATCTATTTTAATTAATATATACATTTCTAAAAAATTAAAAAGGAGGAGACATTATACTCAAGGAGAGTTTCTCATAAATGGAGCTGAGCAAACACCTATCTTTGTTTTTTTATATGGAACCCTGCTAACACAGTTTGAAACACCGGCAATCCTATGTTCGAAGGTATATATATATATTCATTAGTACAGTACACCTGTATACACATAAGTTGTTAATAGAATATATAGTTCTTTTTCTATAGCTATGGTGGTCTACTCCGTGTACATATTTCGCTTAGGCACAACTTTGATGGACTGGACGTTCGTTTTTTTTTTTGATTTGTTTTTAAGTTTTTTTCTCTATGGGGAAACTTTTAGCAGTGTAGCAACGAGGTTTAGCAGTTTAGCAAAGAGGTAAAGGTGGAAACTGGGGGTGATCTTACTTTCACTTTTAATATAAGAACTATATATAAAACTAAATAAGAAATCATGATGTAAATGTTATTATTTTTAAACAAGAATTTATTTTACTTCCATTTACTTTCATTAATTTTGTAAACTCATTTTTATTCGTATATCGAATTATGCCCCACTTACTAAGAAATCTTGACAACACCTATTTCCTCGCTTTCATTTTAATCCTTTTATAGACTCATATTTAATAAGTACCGATAATTATAAGCACTAAATCCAATATTTAACTACTGATACTAAAGTGTTTTCGTTTGCGAGATTACAGATAGATATAATGCAACAAAATGCAATAATCAATATAAATGAATGTATCTTCAATACATAATTTCGCTATAATAGATTCCCAAGGACTTTAACTACTCAAGAATATTTGAAAATTAAAACTGCAATTATTTTAATGGCTCTGTTGTATTGTGCACACCCATCCATCCTACCTAGAACGTCTATATTGATATGGAAAGAATGACTAGTATTCACAACTAGAGCTGTGGAAATTCTATAAAGTCAACATTTTCCTCCATTTTTATTTAACAGTTTGGAAAATTTAATAAATTTTCTTTGCCAATTTTTTTGTTTTTTTTTGCAACAACAAATTTCCAATTTAAAACAAAAACGAATTTATTATAGATACTCACACACACACACACACAAACAAATAAACTAAAAGTGATAGAAGTGAATAAAGAAAAATCTAACAATTCAATATTCGATGATTCGGCACAAAACCAACTCACCATCTTCAAATTTATAACATGGACACGCTGAATTCTCGTCAAAAGTGGGACACTCGATATTATTATTGCCGTCCGTGTTGGATGAGAAAACGCCTCCAATGCTGCTGCCACTGCCACTGCCGCTGCCACTATTCCCATTGTTATGGCCATTGTCGAGTGAACGTACGATGCGTATACGAGCCATGCCACTCCCACTTAACGCAACATCACCGCTGGTATCTACAGGCAACCTAACTGAATATCCTTTTGTCATATGACTTTCAAATGTTGCAGCAACTGCCTCAGTTATTAATGTTGTCGTTGCTGTTGCTGTTGCAGTTGATTTTGCTGTTGACGTTGTCGTTTCTATTGTCGTAGCTGTTGCCGTTGCCGTTGCCGTTGCCATTGCTAACTGTGGAAGGTGTGTGGGTCTTGAAGCGGATATTGTATACGTAGCCAACAGATTTGTTGGCGATGCTGCTGCTGTTGTTGTTGTTGTTGTGAATAATGTTGTTGCTGATGCTGTTTCTCGTATTGCTGGCGTTGCTGTATTATTTGATGTTGTCTGCATAAGGACCTGAGGTTCCGTGTTCGTTGCAGAGGGCAGTGACAGGCAAATGACAAACACAAAGCATGTGCGGATCCATTGTAGTTGCTGATGTCGTTGCTTTTGGTTTTGGCTTTTAAATTGTTGATGTTGTTCGCTTTGTTTTTGTTTCTGTTGCTGTTGTTCTTGGCGTTGGTGGTGTTGTTGTTTTTTATGCTGCAGCTTTTGATGTTGTCGGTTTTGTAAAGCATTTGTGCAATTTTGTTTATGCTTTGATTGCATGTGTTTTGTGAGTTTGATACTATATTCTTGTTGATGCTGCTGCTGTGCTTCTTCTTCTTCTTGTTGTTGTTCTTGTTGTTGTTGTTGTTGTTGGCTACCAATGCAGTTGCTGTTGCTGTTGCTATTGCTATTGTTGTAGCAATTGTTTTTGTTATTGCTATTTGTGTTGTTGCTGGTTGTATTGCCTTTAGTATTTGCATTCGTTAACCCTGCTACCGATTCGAGTAGTGCTATTTCTATTGCTTTTAATAAGGATGTTGGTGATAATAAAGATGATGATGTGGATGATAAAATCGCTGAGGATGCCAAAAAGTCTTTTGTGATTTGTTTTGATGTTTCTGTTTTGGTTTTAGTTGCTTTTAGTGCAGTTAGTGCAGTTAGTGGTGCTTTCGTCGATGTTGATGTCGACACTGATGATGATGTCTCCCAGACGTATATCATGTTGTTGTCATTTTCCTTTGTTACTTCACTGTTACCAGGTATTAGGATTGTAGCTTTTGGATCTTTATGCTCCAGCCACAAAATACGTTGAAGTGATTCAATTCGTTATGGTTTCAGTTTATTTTCCTTTATTCGATGTTGATGGCAGCTTGATGGCTTTCAAATCGATTTGCATAATTCATTGCAAGTGCAATGAAATTTTTTCGAAGCAGGAAACATTTTGATTATTTCATGACTGCAAATATGCTTTTAGTAGTGCAAGGATTCAATTATTGACGACCTCAAAGCACGTATACGTTTCTGAAATAGAAAAAAGAAATGAAATTTGTAATAAAAATTTAATGGAGTTCATTTCGTAAAAAGAGGAATTATATATAAAAAAAAATTAATAATACTTTTTTTTTGGTTGAAAAGTGATACAAAGTATAATGGCCAATAAATAGTATCCTTTTTTAGTTGCTTATCGCTTTCCGAAAAAAAAAAATTTTAAATATTTCGTTACCATTTTTTGCTGGGAAATTCTATACGATAACTATGCTATATCCTTCCTATTTGTAGTGACGCTGGCATAGTTTCCAGCCATCACAGTCGCACTAAAAGCAGCCATTATTCTTAGACACTAGTTTGACAATTTTTGGTGAATTTTTTCGATTCTGTTTTCGGTCCTTTGCGTTTTTGCTCATTTTCAGTCACCAAATGACCAAAATAAAAAACGTTCCGCCATCAGATTTGCGCAATTTCCTGCGCGAGTCGTCGTTGTGCCAGCAAGGATATTATTCAGCATAATTTTAGTTTAATTTTTTATATCCTGTTATTCTTGGCGATTGCTTATTGTGTTATGGCATCGCATAGCGCAGCGAGGCATTTCGCAGAAAGGAGTACCAGTGAAGGAAATATGTCAAATGACTGAAATCTTGCTGCAGTTGCCAGAAACACACTTAATCTTGCGGCGTTGTTGAGTTGAGGAGTTGGAAAGATGACGAGTTGCGGGGTGAATTGTGTGAATACGAATTCTTCATACTTTATGTGTATTATTATTTCAAATAATTTTTCATGCAGATTTGTTTAGGAAATGTGTGCTGAAAATTGGCTTAGACATGCCAACGAATGTGATATTCCCCGAAATAAAAACAGATTTACGACTAAATGCTTAATTTTTCATACAGAAAAGAATACGGAAACATAAATTCTAGAAACCAAAAATAAGTTTTCTTCTTAAAAAAGTTTTTGGATTAAATTTTGAACGTTTTAAAGACAAAATTGATTATAAAATTAGTTAAACGGAAAGGATTCTTAATTTCACCTATTAGAGATTTTAAAAAAAAAGGTTTATTATGATACCCAAATCCTTTTTTTTAATTTTGTTTTTTATTACTCTTAGATTAACCTAATTTCACTTGATTGAATTATCATTATCAAGAATTATTATTATTTTGATATTAATTTAAAAAAAAATGATTTTTTTTTGTACTTGGAAGATTACTTAATTTTTATTATTTAATTTAAATATTTTTTTATTTATTTATATTATAATATTGTGTTAATAATAATATATTTATTTTATATTTAATATATTTTGTTTTAATATTTTGACCATCTTTAGAAAATTTTTTAACATTTGTTTTTATTTTGATATTAATTTTGAAAAACAATTATTTTTTTTGTACTTGGAGAACTACTTAATTTATATTTTTTAATTTAAATATTTTTTTATTTATTTATATGTATTAGTATAAATTTATTTATATATTTTCATTTTATATTTAGTACATTTTATTTTATTTATTTAATAAATAACCAATGAAAAAAATTGGTTATATTAATGATCAAAAAATTTTATATAAATATTTGCGGGGCTTAAGGGCAATTTAATTAATATTTTCGATATATATATTTTTTTATATATATTTATATTATAAAACATAAATTAATGTAAATATATTTATATATATTTATTTTATATTTAATACATTTTATATTAGTATTTATACAACTTTTAAAAATTGGTTATTGTGGTGAACAAAAATTGTTATATTAATATTAACTTTTTTATGAGCTTTAAAGTTAACTTGATTTATATTATTTAATTTATATATTTTATTTATATTAGTAACAATAGCAAATATTTCCATCATTTTTAAAAAATTGATTATATTAATGACCAAAAGTTTTTATTTTATTTTATATTATTTATGTATATTTTTGTCAACTTAATTTATATTATTTGTTTTAATTATATTATTTAAATTTATTACAATTCGTCCTGAATATTAAACATTGTAATAGTTTAAAAATTTCCAATTAAAAACCAATTTATTTATTGATATTTTTTTCTATTCAAAAGAAAAATATTTATAATATATGTTTAGCAGAAAATATAAGGTATCTAGTCGAAATTTTTTATGTATATTATATCAATAGACCATGTATGATAATATTAGATAAAATATACAACAAGTATAAATACTGGATATGGCCCATCTTACAGTTAATAACATCAGCTGAAGTCACAGAGAAACTATATAATAGTCATTAGAAATTAAAGTCATTTGAAATTATGTAAGAAAAAAGATAATAATATTAATGCAATAAAAACCACATGGTTTATCCCCAAATATAATCCATTAGAAGAATTTCGAAATAAATATTTCATCGTAAACAAAAGTTGGCAACTTCTAATAACTTTACTATGACAGAATTCAAAGGATTGACATATTATAAGACAACGAACCATATGTGCTCAAATTTTCTTTGGTATATAAGACACTCCAACCTAACCTAATCTAACCCATTGCCAGCTATGTGCCTTCAAATAAATATAAACTCAAAAACTAAGTTTCGAGGATTGAAATGGTGTTATACTTTCTACTCAATAGCAGGAACTAAATATAACAGTCACTTCCGTCTGAAAAATTTGACGTTAAATAACAACTTATATTCACAAAATATTAGTAACGCCCGTGCGACCCGTGGAGTAACACTAGCATACTAGTTCTATACATAAGAAAGAATAAATCGTGCAACAAATAATACCTCTACAAACAGAATAGTATTGAAATTTAACAATAAAAAATAAAAATAAAATTAATTAATTTAATTATTCCACAGTTGATTTATGATTTCGTTCTAATATAAACACAGCAAGTGAATTTGTTAACAAAACTTTCACGGGAAAGTAACGGCTTTGGGTCAGTTGGTTAAGGAGCGCTCTGACTCTGAGCTTCAAATTTGGCAGGGCACGAGTTCGATTTCTGCTACTCGCAGTTTTTAAAAATTATTTACAAATAATTAAATGTAAGAATTATTTCCAAGACTACTAATGATGTGTATTTGGCAATACTCGAAATAGCTATATAATCCGCCAAAAATTCAATTATTTAAAATATTGTGAAATGAATTTTTGTTGTTGTAGTTCACTACTGTTCGAAAGACCTCTTTATAAAATTCATTTTCAAACTTTTTAATCATTATTTTTGAACTCAGAGCAAATAACGCACAATGCTTTTATATTAAGCAAATATCTTTATTATCAAGTATATATAAATACAATTATTAATAATGGAAATATTTTCACAAAAATATTTTTTATTCTAATTGAATATTTTTGTTATGGAATTTAGGCAATTTATTGCTGCGTTGAAGAAAATTGTTCAAAATTGTGTAAATATTTGCACAAATGTTCTCATTTCACGGTCATTTTCTTTATTTACTTGGGAGCATAAAATTTATAATTCGCAAAACAAATGCAGTTGACAAAACAAACAGTTTGCAGAGCAAATATATAATAAATGTTTTTATTGAATCGCATTAAAGTATTTGTTGATTTTGGGAGCATTATATGATTAGTAGAATAACGAATTAGCAGTGATATGAGACTAATCCGGCACAAGTTGTGCATCATCATAAATTGCTGGAATTAAATAAATTTATGTGAATTCGAATTTCAACATTAATTAACTAATATTGAAATATACTGAATATGATTTTCAATATAAATAAAAACTTATAGCATATAGTTCTAGTAAAAAAAAATCATATTTCGAACGAAAAATGGTTACCTCCTTGAATAACGTCTAGGATTTGTATATTAACATGAGAGTCTGTCACTTGAATTAAACAGGAATAAAATCCTGACACTTACAGTCCAAAAACCACATACGAACAAACAAACCAAAAGATGTTTCTCAAAACTCTTATGATGAATATAGGATAGTGTTCAGAAGGGTTGAGTGGGCAGTTCAAAATATAGGCGATTAAAAGAGGGGTGTTGTAGTAAAGAAATTATCAATATTTAAAATTTTTGTTAATTTTTAATAAAATGAATTTTTGGGCTGACCATTATTATCTGTGGTGTTTTGGAGATATCTATTGATTTAGTGAGCTACAGTTTCAATATAATAGTGTTCAGTTCTTGACACTTACAATCTAAAAATTATATATGATGGTATTCGGGATCGCTATATAGACGGTCTGAGAACTTATTTCATTAATAATTAACAAATATTATTAAAATTTTAATTTTCCTCACTGTTACATATCTTCTCTAACTGAAATAGAATACTTGTCACAGGATAATAATAATTTTTAATTAGAAAATTAAATACAAAATATTTTTATTTCTTTAGAATTTTTATTATACTCCCATTTATAATTAATAATAATTTATTAACATTAAACATTTATAGCTGTAAATAAATGTCAATTTTTAATGCAATTAATAATAATATAGAATAATGGATGTGTCTAGTAATGATTAGGTTTCTCTTGAAACATTAAATAAGTATTCGAATGCTAATTTGATATTCTTTATGTATAAAGAAATACTACTAATTTAATTGATTCCATATATGCAGTATATAAGCAACTCTATAAATGCAATAAATTTTTTCGAACTTATCATTCACTTAATTTTCCTTTAAATTTTTAAATTGGACGTGGAAAATATTGATTTCATGCACAAAATAAAATTTAAACCATCTATATATTAAACCATATATACGATTTTTAGATTATGTAGCACTACAGTGAGTAATTCTAGAAACAACATTGAATCTTCTTAATTCTACCACAAATATATAAAACAAAGAAAAGTTATCCAAATGCCACCTATGGTCTGGATCATGTCATCTCAAAACATTATTATACCAATAATAAACCAAAATTATTATTAAAATTTTTAAACTCTGTGTGGGAAAAAAACACATTATATGCAAAATAATATTTCAAGCAAATGAGAATCAAAAATGATATTTGACATGTGTGACAGTTTCTGGTGCAGCACTCAGAAAATTCCACGTTCTAAGACTAAGCATCGAAAGTGAAATTGCGTGCATAATTTCTTGATGTTATGAACAATAAAGCTGCATAATTTTAATATATAAAAACTTAGGGATTCAACTCTACAAAATGAAATCAACTCATTACTTAGGGAAAGACGATCGGATATATGCTGTGTAATATCCACAAAAAGTCAATTTGTTCTATTAAAATTCACAATTCTTAATTGAGAATAAAATACCTTATATAGAAAATAAAATTCAAAGTAAATGAGAATTAAAAATGGCTTTTGTTATATATCATCACGGTTGCCACTTATGGTACTTTAGTACCAAAATTGGTACTTTTTTTTTCGTTTGGTACTCATGTTTAAAAAATGGTACATTTTTGATGACCCAACTTTATTGTGGATATTTCCAATTAATTTTTTATTATAAATGCATCTTTGCACTATTTTATATTTTGTTCATTTATAACACTATGAAAAACACAACGAAAAAACAAAAAGGTCCAGAAAAATTTTGGACCTTTTTTTACAGAAATGGTACCTTTTTAAACCAATTTTGGTACAGAAAAAAATTTTCAAGTGGTCACCGTGGCTGTGAATAAATGTCAACTTTTAACGCAATTAATAATAATATAGAATGTATAATTTTATATATGCTATATAAATATCTTCTATACATATGATATATATATATATACTTGCAGGAAGACAGGGATACAAAAAAATTTTCCCCTACTCGATAAGAGATTGTCATGCTTAAATAATTTTATCTCCAGTTTAATATCTCTCCAGATATATGAAATAAAGTGAAGCTAGCTTCTAAAAATCATTTCCAAAAATAATGGATGTGCCTAGTAATGATTAGGTTTCTCTTGAAACATTAATAGAGTATTGGAATGCCAATTTGATATTCTTTATATATAAAGAAATACTACTAATTTAATTGATTCCATATATGCAGTATATAAGCAACTCTATAAATGCAATAAATTTTTTCGAACTTATCGATCACTTGAAATTCTTAAATTGAACGTCGAAAATATTGATTCCATACATAAAATAAAATTTAAAGCATATAAAAACTAAACTAAACCATAAAAGTTATCCAAATGTCACCTATGGTCTGGAACATGTCATCTCAAAACATTATTAGACCAATAATAAACCAAAATTATTATTAAAATTTTTAAACTCTGTGCGGGAAAAAAAACACATTATATGCAAAATAATATTTCAAGCAAATGAGAATCAAAAATGATATCTGACATGTACGACAGTTTCTGGCACAGCACTCAGAAAATTCCACTTTCTAAGACTAAACATCGAAAGTGTAATTGCGTGCATAATTTCTTGATGTTATGAACAATAAAACTGCATAATTTTAATATATAAAAACTTAGGGATTCAACTCTACAAAATCAAATCAACTCATTACTTAGGGAAAGACGATCGGATATATGCTGTGTAATATCCACAAAAAGTCAATTTGTTCTATTAAAATTCACAATTCTTAATTGAGAATAAAATACCTTATATAGAAAATAAAATTCAAAGTAAATGAGAATTAAAAATGGCTTTTGTTATATATCATCACGTTTGCCACTTATGGTACTTTAGTACCAAAATTGGTACTTTTTTTTTCGTTTGGTACTCATGTTTAAAAAATGGTACATTTTTGATGACCCAACTTTATTGTGGATATTTCCAATTAATTTTTTATTATAAATGCATCTTTGCACTATTTTATATTTTGTTCATTTATAACACTATGAAAAACACAACGAAAAAACAAAAAGGTCCAGAAAAATTTTGGACCTTTTTTTACAGAAATGGTACCTTTTTAAACCAATTTTGGTACAGAAAAAAATTTTCAAGTGGTCACCGTGGCTGTGAATAAATGTCAACTTTTAACGCAATTAATAATAATATAGAATGTATAATTTTATATATGCTATATAAATATCTTCTATACATATGATATATATATATATACTTGCAGGAAGACAGGGATACAAAAAAATTTTCCCCTACTCGATAAGAGATTGTCATGCTTAAATAATTTTATCTCCAGTTTAATATCTCTCCAGATATATGAAATAAAGTGAAGCTAGCTTCTAAAAATCATTTCCAAAAATAATGGATGTGCCTAGTAATGATTAGGTTTCTCTTGAAACATTAATAGAGTATTGGAATGCCAATTTGATATTCTTTATATATAAAGAAATACTACTAATTTAATTGATTCCATATATGCAGTATATAAGCAACTCTATAAATGCAATAAATTTTTTCGAACTTATCGATCACTTGAAATTCTTAAATTGAACGTCGAAAATATTGATTCCATACATAAAATAAAATTTAAAGCATATAAAAACTAAACTAAACCATAAAAGTTATCCAAATGTCACCTATGGTCTGGAACATGTCATCTCAAAACATTATTAGACCAATAATAAACCAAAATTATTATTAAAATTTTTAAACTCTGTGCGGGAAAAAAAACACATTATATGCAAAATAATATTTCAAGCAAATGAGAATCAAAAATGATATCTGACATGTACGACAGTTTCTGGCACAGCACTCAGAAAATTCCACTTTCTAAGACTAAACATCGAAAGTGTAATTGCGTGCATAATTTCTTGATGTTATGAACAATAAAGCTGCATAATTTTAATATATAAAAATTTAGGGATTTAGCTCTACAAAATGAAATCAACTCATTACTTAGGGAAAGACGATCGGATATATGCTGTGTAATATGCATAAAAAGTAAATTTGTTTTATTAAAATTCTCGATTCATATTTGAGAATACAATACCTTATATAGAAAATAAAATTCAAAGTAAATGAGAATTAAAAATGGCTTTTGTTATATATCATATTATTTAGTACAACAATCAGTAAATTCGGAAACTAATCATAAAAAGTGCAATCTATAATTGCATATGTAAAACCTTGTGGTATATTTTACGCATTTCTAGATCATTAGCAATAAGGATACTACACTCAAATATTAATAAAGATATTTATAAACTCAATATCGATAGTTAGCTGAGTGATTAGATAGAGATATCACTGATACAGATGACATAATCAAATAATAACTGTTAAAAATCAAAGCTTGTTTTAAAGAATATCTAATTACTCTTTTGAGATATCGCTATATATAGAAACTATTTGGTTTTCTTATAATATATCAATAATATACAGATTTATTACAAATTATACATTTTTGAACATTGTTTTCATTCTTAAATTAACCTCTCACAATAACAATTGGAGATACAGTATTGCTTGCACTTATGCCAAGCGATGAGAGTATGCCAGTAGAGGAGCCTGAGAAGGTGCCATAGCAACGGCGACGTGTGCCGGTCGATATACCAGTACAGTACGTACTCGATACTCGGGTGTACGCTAAGGGTTAATATTTGAAAATATTAAATAATTGTAATGAAGGAAATATTATGATGTAACTCGAGTCCTCGAGAAGGACTTTTATCACAAGACTTACCAACGTTGCTGTTACAATTGGCGGTGTTGTAAGCGCAGCTGTTTCGGAATCTGGCACACAGGTTGGACCGGCCGTAACGACCGCAAACTGTTGTCGTGTTTGTGGCGGTACAATTAGCGACGCTTATAATGCAAACCCTGGCTCCAGTTGTGTAGGAATTGTAGGAGATTAAAATCACTTGGCGGAGAGGAAAGATGAATAATTTTGAATTAAATAATTAATTTTTATAATTTTTTGTTATGATGACATACCAGCAATAAATGTCAAGCAGAATAAAAACTTCATTGTTCTTCTTTGTGTGATACGTTATTAACTACGAATTGAAACTGAATTAGATATGATGAACTACGAGTGATAATTTGCTTTTTATAGCAGAAGCGGTTTGGGATTTCAACTATTTTTGGCAATATTTCATTGAGAAGAGCAAGTGTTGAACTCACTTTTTATTTGTCTTTGCTATTTTCGTTTATTTGTTATAATTAAAAAAAAAATTTAGTAAAATGTGTGTTAAATATATTTAAAATAATTTAATTTCGAAAGCATACAAGTGTGTTTAATCCAGGGTTAAACTATTTTGCGTAAATATTTTAAGAAAATCAAAAAGTTTTAGACTTTCATCAGTCAATGCTAAATCAGAATTTTTTATTTCACGTTTGATTCATGACGTCAATATAACTGTTTATTATAAATGTGCAAAAAAATATATAACATATAATAATAATATATTTTAATTGTAATAATAGAAATATTAATTACAATTAATATACAAAATTTCAAAAAATTTTATAATTATTCTATAATTATAAATTATTTAAATTATATAAATTTTATATAAAGCTCATATTCTAAAATTTTATAAATTTTTATACCCAAAACTACTCAAGAGGTTGTCAAATTTATAGCTAAGTTAGATTGTAAAATCATTTACTTTATTTTATTCTTTGATTGTCATCTAATTTTTCTTCTTCTCTTCTACTGCAACTGTTTATCGGTCCTAACCATTCTAAAAATTCCTTTTTATTTCTCTAAACTATTGACATCTTATTTCCAGTTTTGACTTTCATTTTCCATTCCATGTACTTAGGATCCAGTACTTTTTTGATCCGCTAACTAAGCGTATCTCGACTTGTTTACCGAAATAGATTCTATTTATTGATATATTATTCGAAAAAGTGATTTATTATAGTTAATATTGCAGATATAAGTTGAAGATAATACTAACAAGTAATTTTTTCGCTGATTGTGGTATTTTGGCTTATTGCTTACTCTTAATGTGGACTTCCTGCAAATATTGTATTTGATTCTTCATCGTTTTTCTTTCTGACTCTTATCTGATGACTATTTTCTATCATCGCTGCAACTGATCTTATAATGGTATTCATGCTATATAAGATGACTGGTATTTGACTGAAGTACTTCCAGATAATATCATTTCTAAAATTCTTTCAAACATTCTATGACAAAAGCTCTGAAAGATCAAGCTTATGTCGAAGTCATAGTTATCGTTGTCACGATTAAAAGGTAATATTATTAATTTAATAAATTATCCGCCATGTTTTATCATTATATGGTGTTGGTACCTATATATCTGGCAACACAAATCTAATTGTAACAAACGATGCGGGGCTGAAAATTACTTGACTAAGGTTTTCACCGAAGAACCTTTGGTGTATGTTCTATACCGATGGAATTATAATATTACCTGAAGAATGGCAAAAGGTCATAAATAGTGATGGCGAATATTAACTTTATTAAAATTTATTTCTAATAAAGAAAAGTTTTACTGAAAAATGTAGTAAAGAAAAGTGATAGCCTTTATATCACTCAATGTATTAGTAATGGCACTTTGCAGTTGACAAAAGAAAATCTGTAATTAGGAAATCAGAGTAATTAAGAATAAGTTATTTCTTTCTTTTATATTAAGAGAGTTATTCCTTAGTAATTATGGAACGTGATCTTATAAAAATATGATTTAAATTTTAGTGAATGAACATTATATTAAATTGATTTTATCATGCGTTTTGAGTAAGGAAACTTAAATCTTAATATAAACTATTGATTTCAATAGAGAGGTTTTTCGAACAGTATAATATTACAATATATAGTTTTATTGTTCATTAATTAATTGAATTTTGCGCTGACTATACAACTGTTTCGAGTATTGCCAAATAACCATCATCAGTGGCCTTCAAATTACTTCTTATATTTAATTACCGGACCGGTACCGAATATAATTAAATGGAGTAGATGGAGACGAAAGGATTGCAATCAACATATTCGAAGAATGGAAAATCATCGCCTGGCCAATATTGCAATGGTAGAGAAACCAACAATCGCGAGATTACCCGGTCGACCGCCAAAGAGATGGCATGAATGATGGACCTCTGGCGCTACAGAAATATAATAATTCGATATATCACAATTTTATATAAATATATCCAATTCAATTATTGTAACAAAACAGGATTTAATCCTATAATAAAGAAGAAGAATTATTCGTAAATAATTTTTTTTAGACTGCAAGTATTAAGAATTGAACTCGTACCCTATCAAATTTGAAGCTCACAGTCAATTTTAGTTATCCAACTGTTCCAAATCTACCAGTTTTACAATTTAACAAGAAATGCATTTTTTCGCATGGGTTGTCCATTTTTTGGTTCTAAATTGGCAGTAGGTATTTTTTAGGTAGCTACGAAGATGTGACCTAATATAGATAAACTTTGTTTGAATATTTTTGAAGCGTTATTTAAGACATCTCGTCTCTGTAGGATTGTACCATAACCCAATTTACACATCACTTTCTGTCTTAGTTTTGTTAAAAAAGAAATTTCCTATACCTTTTCTCAGGTTTTGGGTTTTAGTGATATTAATCAATATTATCAATGTTATATGACTATCAATATTATGCGATATGTTATTATTAGTTTATTTTAAAAATATCACGTAAGAGATTCTACGTATGCTGACAACTCTCATACTCTTAATATTTTTTGGACGAACATCTATTTAGTTATAGTCAAGGTACTGCTAACTATGTAGCGACATGTCAAAGAAATTTACTTTAAAAGGCTCCAATATTGTCAAATGTGCCTTTATAAACATCTTTTCGCAACATGATTCTTGTTTAGTTATTAGATAAATAATTTTATATAATGTAGAATTAGAATATATATAAAATAAATATATTTCAGTTAAGCAAATTATAGAATTCTGTGAAAGCAAAATAAAAACAATAAATATTTGTTCTATTATTTTTGAACAAAATAAATTTACTTTCATTCTGCTTTACTCTTCCAAAAAGTATTAGTAACTATATTCTGTTTATTAAAATGGAAAAACTGTGTCAGGTTTTTTGGATTTTTTTTGAACTTCAGTTCCGCAATAATTTTCTATCTTAGTTGAAATAAATAATTATTGTAATTTTATTTGAGAAGAATGTATTATTATATATTTATGAGATTTACCACAAGGTAAGCATCGAATAAGTACCTATTATTATTGTTAGGGGATGTGGCACAGCGAACGTCGGGTCTATTGTGCCCCGTTCTGGGCTTAGAGTAGATCTTTAAGCCCTTTCGCGTCAATAAAAAGTAGTATAGAACTTACTTTACAGAGTTTTATTGCCTCTTTTAAAAGAATATACATTCCTAGGAGCCTATTTCGTATGTGCATTAGCGCAAGACAGTCTAACTGCACATGTGTGGCCGACTCCTTATTCTCTTCACAGAATCTACAGTTTGCATCCGTAACTATACCCAGTTTTTATTTTGATTGGTTCATACAACCCTGGTATCTCTTATAGGTAACAATAAGTGATTTGGGTTGTTTTAATCCCACTGGGATAATATCAGTAGTCCTTTTTATTCTGGTTCTCCTTTATTTTTATGAGAGAAAGGAGCATATTATTTTCTAGTCTACAAATACGTTCCGGCCCCATCATCGGTGTGGCTGCTCCTTTTTTGGCTAGCTTGTCCGCGTATTCGTTTCCGCATACGCCAGTCTGTCCCGGTACCTAAAGAATCGACACCTGATTTGTTTCGCCAAGCAGATTTAGCTTATCAATGCAGTCTAACACCAGTTTTGAGGGCACCTGATGCGAGACTAGTGCCTTGATCGCCACTTAGCTGTCTGTTAGTATATATATCTATATGTTGTACAGATACTACAACTGTGATAAATCCTTCAATAAATGAATCAAAAATGTGCTATTAAAGCTAGTTTCTTAACTAGTTTCAGTGTATCTTAAGAAGTGGTCGTTAAAGATACTCTTAGGTTGGTTACCACGTCCCTTTCTATGTTATTACCGTTTCTCATGGTAGATGTAAGAGTAGAAATTAAAGTAATATGTACAGATTCTATGTAAAAAGTATCTTTAAGAACTATTCTATGCAGACAATCAAGTCAACGTCGATTACAACATTCGTTCTTCCTTTCAATGAAAGTATAAAAATTGAAGGCACTAGAAGCAACAACAAATGTGATGTTCGATGATAATTTTATTACGTATTCTATTATGTATTATAATGTAAAATTTATAAAATATTCAACACTTAAAATCCAAGAGAAATAAATTTAGTTAAATCGCAGTTTATTTAACCTCTAATAATAATGGGAGTAACTCTATTACTGCTGACTGCACTAGTACCCAATAAATTATTTAGGTAATTTGTTAATACACCGGAAGTACTACTACTAGTACTACTGCCATTACAACGAGCACGTCTACCGACACTTATACCAGTACATAAAGTACTTGAGACTTCAGTGTATCCTGAAAATCATATGAAGGCATTAAAATCAATTTTATATTGAGAACAGTTAATCCACATACCGCGACCACCTCTGCAATTGGCTAGTTGTAGAGCACATCTATTGCTGAATCTGGTACAGAGACTGGAGGAACCATAACGACCACAAACTTGCACTGTTGAGCGACAATTTCTCACATTGATAACACAGACCGTGACAGCATGAGTCAATTCCTTTGAACCCAAAAGGAAAACTGCAAGGATCAAACATTACAATGAACCCCAATATTTTATATATCTTTTAAAACGTACCAAGACAACAAGCGACTATTAACACAATCTTCATTTCGAGTTACTTTCTCATGCTCTAAAATGTATCTTTTTTGCGAAATGAAGGTCTTTTTATATGAAAAATTGTTTTCTGTCCAAATTTAGAAACCAGAAATGAAAGAGCAAATACCCAAGTCTTTTCTGTGTACTCTTGTTTTGATTTCATAATAAATAAAATAAACGTTTTTTCTTACGTTTACGCAAAGAATTGTCATGAGGGAAATATTATAAATAAAATAATAGAAAAAAAGATTATTTATATAACTTTTATTCCAACAAAAGTATATAAAGGAAAGACAAATTATATTTGCTGTCTTAATATTTAAAATTTTTTTTTCGTATAAGAAAAACAAGCAATATTTGTATTTCTCTCAGTTTAAATAATTTTAAAAATATTATGGATTTGTTTTATTCAATAAATATATTATTTTAACTTGAATAAAACGTGTATTGATAATGTATTTAATTATTAACTTATTTTATATATATACCATAATAATATACACAATATATATTACACCAAATTAAACCAAATATGGTATCAGCTAAGAGATTCAACGAAGAGTCACTCTTGCCAACAGATCTTACTTCAGGCTAAGTAGACAATTAAGAAATAAAGCCCTTTCTCAATAAACAAAGTCACGGTCTACAAGTCTCTTATGATGCCTCTCCTGCTTTATAGTATATAATCTTGGACAATTGCCAACGGTGATGACAAGCCGTTAGGAGCGAAAAATTCTTCAGAAGATCTATGGTCCCTAAGGCGTTGGCGATCAATATTGAATCATATGGAACGATAAGCTATATGAGCCATACCGCGACATTGACATAGTTAAGTGGATAAAAATTCAGCGGCTTTGCTGGCTGGGGTCATATCGTGCAAATGGAAGAAAGTGCTTCGGATAAGAACGTGTTTAATTTAGTACCCACAGGGTGAAAACGATGTAGAGGATGGCCACATCTTCGGTAAAAAGAACAGGTAATCAACGATTTGGGCTAACTACTCGTCGCGGTCAAGGCCGAATCACGTATGCAATATATATATATAATAATATATATAATATATATATAATAATAATATATATAATATATATATAATAATAATATATATAATATATATATATAGCAATATATATAATATATAAAAATGTTGTATCAATAAAACATCTGCAGAGAGCAAATGAAGGTAATCAATTTAAGGTTTTAATTCAGTTGGCCCTTCAAAATATTAAAAATAATTAACTAGATAGAAAAAACTCGCTGGTTAAGACAACGAATGGACAAATAAGGACTCATATTTGTATTTAAGGACTCAGATTTGAATCCTTAAAAGCAATTAATGATGCTTTAAATTTTAAATAGCAAATTTTAGCAAAGAAGTCACTCCTCAAAAACAGTTACGCCCAATATTATCCTAGTAAGGGACCTTTAGTGTTACAAAAAAAATGTTTTTAATTTGAATAATAATCCATAATTATTATAAATGAACATATTGGAATCATAAGAGTTCTTTCAGTTGTTCACCAATTTTTTATATAAAATATTAGCTTTTTTAACACAATAATAAATAATTAAACAAACTTTACAGTACAATACAATACAATATTCGAATAGTCAAGAACCTGTAAATATATAATTAATAAGTAATTTAAATTACTTCTAAGTTAAATGTCAACAAGGAAAAAATTTACCCGATTTCCCAATAGTACTCAGCATTAAAGCAGATTTTTAAAAATATATATACCAAATGGTTGGTAACTAATTATAATAGAATATTTTCCTAGCAAGCTTGTCAACTGCTCTGTTATCGTCAAATCCCTTCTGACCTGATATCCACATAAGTCAAACTTTACTTGCCACATTAGATTCTTAGATTATTCAGGAATGAGTGAAAGGTTTTACAGATGATTGACTATTTGTACATATAGGTATTCTATAGTTTAGATTTCAATGCACTGATCTTATTTATTTATTGGTGAATCAACCGCAAGTATTAAAGCGTTTTTACAGGCATTTCATTCATTTTTTTTAAATTAATAAAACTTTAGTTATGTGCAATCCCAGAATTGTAAGAAAGTAAAAAGCTTATAGGTTATAAAAAGCCCAAAATAGCTGATAGTACATTTTCTCGGAAATAACTTTTGATGGTAGGAACACAGCACTTCGAATCTTCAAGTTGAACGACTATTGTACTACGTTTTTGTACTATATGAACACAGTATTTGTACATTAAGGAATATTTTTTTTTGTATGTATATAGCTTTTTTATCACATCAAATTAGATGATGTCAGGGTTATCTTGTATGAGGTAAACTATAAATAGCAGAGTAAGTGACTTATTTTGGAGGGGAATTTATTCTCAAACAGAGCCCGCGTTTTCAGTAAATGTTTTATAGTAAACAATTCTAAGGTCTTCTTTTCCGTCTATAGGGAAATTGAATATATATAAGCAATTACAATAGCTTATAAGCCAATTGTAGTTATATTAATAAAATTGAACTATAAGTTAAGACTTTTTTGATTTAAGATTTCAATTTTAATTCTAGTTGAACACACTTTCCACCAATTAGAGAACCCCATTGAAAAAAAAACCTTGCACATAAACTTATATATCAAACTATCATCTTATTAGGCTTATCCTACAACATTATACATGTCCTTACCCTCCTCTTATACTTCATTCAATTATAAACATTTTTAGTGCTAAAATATAGCACTATGAAAATATATTGCAGGTTACAATATTTATTGTTTTTGTATTTTATATGACATATATTTATATTTATATTTTTGCATGAATATTTATTTAGATTCACATTTAAGAAATCGTGGTTTAATAAATTTATTATTGCTGAATATGAGCTTTAAATTTGGCAGGGCACGAGTTTAACTCCTGGTACTTGCAGTTTTAAAAATTTAAATACCAGTAAACAAATATAAGAAATAATTTTAAGACTACTGATGATAGGTATTTGGGAATACTCGAAACAGCTCTATGGTCAGTCAAAAATTCAATTATTTAAAATATTATAAAAAGAAATTTTGTTGCTGTAGTTCACTACATTTCGAAACCTCTCTATTTATTATATATTGCAGTTGTATATTATGAAAATTGTTGTTTTACGAGGGTATAGGTTGGTGTCCTACACAAATGATACTGCATCTGGAGCGAGCGTACGGTTCTATGATGTTTGGAAGCCCCTACTGAATATGAAAATATGACATTAAACTTTTGAGTGTATTATAAACCACTAAAATTGCAACATGGTGACTTAGAGGGCAACAGATCAAAGTCAAACCAGTCTGCAATTACGGCAAACTACAGCGTTTTAGGAAGGGTAACATCATGACTACTTCGCACTGTGAGGCGTAAGGCTACCGAGCTAATCTTTGAAATAGAAACTAATTTCAGCTTGCTACATAATTAGATACCAATAGGGAAATGTATAATTCTGTACAATTATATAATTCATATAATTCTATTCAAATTTAAACAATTTTTTAACATTTTTCCACTTTTTAAATAACTTGTTTTAGTACAAATTTTTGTCAAGATTCCGATTTCAGAGATACACCAATATTTTGAGATATATTTCGTATAGTTTTTCTGATATCGCTCTTAAAATTTAGAAAGTTCTACAATATATGGTAAAATTAGTATAAACTAGTTGACACCAGATGGCGCATATAAATTCTGTGGGTGCGATCAATGTAGGAAGTACACAATTTCAAGCTCAATATCTTGAAAAGTAAGTCAGATATATTAAATTTTGGTGCAGTTGAAAAAGTGGCTCAATATAGTTGATTCTACTATAATCAATAATAATATAATTGGAATTACCGCAAACTTTTTTTTATATGTTTGCTATATACGTCACTATTATTTATCATACATACTAAGCTGCTTAAGCTACTTTATTCCAAATTCGTTTCTCAGAATTAATGTTATAATGCAAATATTTAACTGAGCTAATTTTTTAATCAGATAAAGTTTTAATTTTAAATTTCAATTGGATAAATTTAAATTAATCCGGTACTTCGTTTATTTTGCCATAAACATATTTTTGAAAATATAATTTGCGACTGCCCTAAAGTATGCTTTTAATTGTAGCGTTGCAGAATAGCCGCTGTGAAGAAATTTTTACCTTAAATTTACCTTAAATGAAGTTGTTAAATAAGTTAAGCACTGCATACTTTTAAGTCATTTTGGAAATTGAATGCTCGTCGGGCCAAAGTTGTTCAAATTCCATGGCCTTTAACTGCATTTGTTGCTAATGGTTTCCACGTCAAGCATTTGGTCAACTTATGGTGACACCTGTCACTTGAATGTTTCAGAAGGCATGCGCCGAAATTGCTCCAAAAAGCCATGGAAATGCGGTTGAGTTTGTTTACAAATTCTGATTAAAGCAAGAAAAAAAACAGCGAAGCGTGTATTTCAGTAGAGTTTGTTTATTTCGTCAAAAAGTTGTGAGGTCCGAAACCGAAGTGTGGAAAATAAATTTAAAAATATTAACAAAAAATTAATGGCTTAAAACCAAAAATCTCGAAAATTGTTTTTAATTAATGTTGTCAATAAATTAAAAATAAAATGAAAAGAGCCATTGATATAAATTTTTCATGAAGTATTGCATTTAACAAATGTGAGTAAATTTGTTAAATAATTGAATCAAAATATTTATGCTTAAGCCTTAATTAAATTCAATAAAAAATGTTTAAGTAAAAATTATTAGAAATATTACATTAATATTGATTTTTCCGACTATTCTGTTTAGTTTCTGTTTTGTTTAAAAACCACTTCACTGTATTTTCCTGCACTTTTCTTTATTTTCCAAAAGAGTAAAAAAATTGAAAAAAATTTTATTTTATCTGGAGGGTGAAATTGTGGACGTTCATGAACCGCGGTAATAATATTCAGGTGGTTTTGATAATAATAATCGAATATGAAAAAATAAAAAAAAAATATTAAATTAAAATCAAGAAAATTTACAAGAATTATTAATCTCAAAATCATCTATGAGCTATCACATGCTTT